GGCTACTTGAGAAATATGACAGATGAGAGAGTATTATTAACGTGTGCTTCAACTACTGTCATTCATATAACACTCGTGTATTGTGCTGCATTATCGTGTTGAAACTAAACTAACCCTAACCCTAACCTAACCTAACCCTAACCTAACCTAACCTAACTCTGGCTGTTGAAGTGTCTCATACTAAGACCAATTGAACGATGTCAGAAGAGGAGTAAAGAGGGAGAGAGAAAGAGGGAGGGTGAGGCAGCTCCTACACAACAGATGTCTCTTGACTCTTATTGTATAACTGTAAATGTGTGTGTGTGTGTGTGTGTGTGTGTGTGTGTGTGTGGGTGTGTGTGTGTCCAAAGGATATACTCAGAGTGTGACATACAGTGTACATTAGGTTCCTGCTGCCTTTCCCTATCTCTCCTTGACCACACACACACACACGCTAGCCTCATCTGCACACACGAGACGAACGAACCAGTCCCTTCTAGTCCTCACGCAACACAAAACAGACCTCTCTCTCTCTCTCTCTCTCTCTCTCTCTCTCTCTCTCTCTCTTTTCAATGTTCGGTTTCTTGAGTCATGAGCAGCTTCGAGCAAATATTCACAGGTTTCGAAAATATGAACCAATTGATGTTTCGAGACCCCATAGTCAAACAGACCGAGTTCGTACCGATGACCAATCACATTCGTCTAACCTCACCATAGGAAGTTTCGAACCTGTGTTTTAAGAAATTTCCGAAACACGTATCAATCAACTTTGCCATTTTTCCTCTTCTCCTTGTTCGTCAATTCATTCAAAATCACACACACCTCACCACACACACCTCCCCCCACCACACACCTCCCCCACCACCCCTACCCACACACACCTCCCCCCTCACACACACACCTTCCCCCCTCACACACACACACACCTCCCCCCTCCCACACACCTCCCCCCCCTCACACACACACACACCTCCCCCTCCCCACCTCCCCCTCACACACACACACCTCCCCCTCACACACACACACACACACCTCCCCCCCTCACACACACACACACCTCCCCCCCTCCCACACACACCTCCCCTCCCACACACACACACACACCTCCCCCCCACCCACACACACCCCCCCCCACACACACCTCCCCCTCACACACACACCTCCCCCTCCTCCCCCCTCACACACACCCCCCTCCCCCCTCCCCACCTCCCCCCCCCACACACCCACACACACACACACACACACACACCTCCCCACACACCTCCCCTCACACACACACACACACACACCTCCCCCTCACACACCTCCCCTCACACACACACACACCTCCCTCCCCTCATACACACACACACACACACACACACACACCTCCGGCTGTCGTGCAAGGAAGGTGTTGTGTGGTCGTGATGACAAGGCGGGGTAGACCAGTCTCGACCATCATGCACAGGTGTACGTACATGAGGTAGCTTCAACAGGTGAACCAGTAATACCGTTCACTTGCCCCTCTTCTTCTTCCTCTACCTCCTCTTCTTCCTCCACCTCCTCCTCCTCCGCCTCCTCTTCCTCCGCCTCCTCTTCTCCCCTCTCTGTTGTGGTCCTCTTGAGTTAACTTGGTGTCTAAGTTTCTTTTTGTTTACATTGTTGTGTTGGGAAGCTTTATGTCCTTTGGTGTGACGTCACGGAGCTTCCTATCCTCTGTTATGACGTCACCTAAGTTTTGTTTTTGTTTTTTCTCTTATCTGTTCAATTTCATTATTATTTTTTCTCTACGTCATACATCGTACTCAAAGGGTTAAACCATCGTACTCAAAGGATTAAACTATCGTACTCAAAGGGTTAAACCATCGTACTCAAAGGATTAAACTATCGTACTCAAAGGATTAAACCATCGTACTCAAAGGATTAAACTATCGTACTCAAAGGGTTAAACTATCGTACTCAAAGGGTTAAACTATCGTACTCAAAGGGTTAAACTATCGTACTCAAAGGGTTAAACTATCGTACTCAAAGGGTTAAACTATCGTACTCAAAGGGTTAAACCATCGTACTCAAAGGGTTAAACCATCGTACTCAAAGGGTTAAACTATCGTACTCAAAGGGTTAAACCATCGTACTCAAAGGGTTAAACCATCGTACTCAAAGGGTTAAACTATCGTACTCAAAGGGTTAAACTATCGTATTCAAAGGGTTAAACCATCGTACTCAAAGGGTTAAACTATCGTACTCAAAGGGTTAAACCATCGTACTCAAAGGGTTAAACCATCGTACTCAAAGGGTTAAACTATCGTACTCAAAGGGTTAAACCATCGTACTCAAAGGGTTAAACCATCGTACTCGAAATAACACATTGGTTTTATTATTGTCCTCAGTTTGCAATGTTACTTCATTATTTACCTCCAAATCTCCTTAAAAATTCTCAATAACTTCTTCCTCTGCATAAATTGAGAAATAAACCCCATTCTTCCTCTTGGTTTAGTTTCTCGTTGGGTTTTAAGTTTATGAGACACAATATTCTGGCATTTCTTTGCTATTGTCTCACTAACGAGGTCTGGTTTATAATTACCATACACCGGCAACATGAATTCATTGTTTCTCCCGCCCATCACGCCTCACACTAACACAGTTTTGGTGCTTTCTCGCTTCGTCTGCTGTATTTTCTCTTTATAATTACCATTTTTCCACTTGTAAATATGTTTAGTGAAATCTTTAATGGTTTATTTTAGTGATGTAACCCCCGGGAGTAGTGTACTGTCATATAGAAGGCCGCCGTGTGATGATTTAGCCCGGGCAGTTTGGTTATCGTTTAGATGTGTTTAATGTTGGAGAAAATACTGATGAACGGGGCAGCTTCCCACGTACCTGTGAAAATAAAACTAATGCCTTGAATTTTGTTTAATCTGAGGTAACTAATCCAATTCCTAACCTAACCTAAAGAAAACTACCTTAAAATCCTGAGGTTAGGTTAGGTTAGGTTAGGTTAGGGTGGTTAATCTTCAGGTTAAATAAGTTGGGGTGGAGATTCTTCAAGTGATTCGTATTTTGCCTCATGTAATTCAACCAAAACAAATATTCCGTTCATGAATCCGGTAAATCCTCCGGTATTATGCGAACCCAAACAAAGCCAGTCATTCTATACTTGTAATCCGGATGACTTACATGTTCCTGAACCTCCCAAAACAGAGTGACACACGAACCGCTCTGTCACTGATGCTCACATGAAGGAGCATTTGGTCAAGAGCATATTTATCTCTCCCTAAAAACCTTTTGTCTAGTGTATAAACCTGAATTAATGTAAGGTATTATAAGATCCTGGTAGCTGAAACGTATAATACGGTTAAATAAAAATATTCTCTTGTATTATATCGTATAACAGTTCCTTTATAGCATATAGGATATTGAAGCTCCTACAGTGTTACCAGATAGAAGTGAAAATGGTGTTCCTACAGTGTTACCACGTAGAGAAGATTATGATATTCCTACAGTGTTACCAAGTAGAGATGACAATGACATTCCTACAGTGTTACCAAGTAGAGATGACAATGACATTCCTACAGTGTTACCACGCAGAGAAGATTATGATATTCCTACAGTGTTACCAAGTAGAGATGACAATGACATTCCTACAGTGTTACCAAGTAGAGATGACAATGACATTCCTACAGTGTTACCGAGTCAGGATGACCTCAAACCCCCACACAAACAAAAAACACAAAGTTCCTCTCCTAATATAAACCTTCACTCGCTCTAACTCCCATCATCTTGATTATTTATATAGATGTTGTGTTGTTGTTGTTGTTGTTGTTGTTGTGGTCAGGTTGTTGTTGTTGTTGTTGTGGTGAATCTGTTCAAATGTTTTGATTTGTAAAGCATAAATAAGAAAGAATTACGAGGCGTGACGTATGGATTGAGAGGCTGTGGTATGTGGGTGAGGTGTGGAGGTCAGGTGTGGGGGTGGGGAAGGCAGGTGGTGGGGTGAGCTGTGGAGAAGTGATGGAGGTGTGGTGGAGGCAGGTGTTTGGGTGAGGTATGAGGTGGTGGGTGGAGTGGGAAGTGAAGTGGGCAGAAGGCAGGTGATGGGTGTGGGGGAGGGCAGGTGTGGGGGGCAGCTAACGGAGGGAGAGAGACTGAGGTGAGGGAGACTTGACTGGCCTCTATGTTCAAATATCGTCGCGGTGATTAGTTTTTGTTTGTGTCTTTGTCTGAAGCTCTCTCTCTCTCTCTCTCTCTCTCTCTCTCTCTCTCTCTCTCTCGACCCGCAGAGTTCATCCTCAAAGCTTAGGAAGCCATTAGCGACACAGCGTCACCACTTAATGTTCAAATGGCTGAAAATAACACTCATTTGCCCTGACACATCCGCTACCTAAAGGTCCTCCTTGAAGAACGTTACTTTATGACAATTGACACTAATTAAAGACACATCTGGCTGGCGGAGGCTGGGAGCGAGATGACACCGTGTAAGAGAGAGAGAGAGAGAGAGAGAGAGAGAGAGAGAGAGAGAGAGAGACCTGTCAGACGTAGAGAAAGTTGAGAGATATCGACTGGCTGGAGAGATAATTTAAAGGAGATAGAAATTTCAGACTTAGAGATACAGGTTATGAGAGACCTTTGAGAGATGTGGTTTGGGTGGAGAGATTCTGTAGGTAGTTTATTGAGGCGGCATAGAGAGAGAGATAATGAGATAGTGGGGTGTTGAAGGTACGGATATATAGAGATAGAGACACTGAGAAAACTTATTGCTATAGAGAGAGGAATTGAGGGACTTCATTCAGAGAGATAGAGTGAGAGACAGAGAGGAAGAGAGAGATCAACCGCAGGAGCGACAGACGTTCAAATCGAGATAGAAAGGAAGAGAGGATTCAGTAGGGGGGAAGGAGGGGGGGAGGGTTGGGGTTGGAGGGAGGGGGGTTGGGGGTGTAGGAGGGAGGGTAACAGCAAAAGCGAATGACCAATGACGCGGGTGGGGGGCTGGTTCCCTCTCCGCCGCTTTCTACCGCTCTCAGCTCCCCCAGTCGTCTACCGCTCAGTGTGTTGACAGTCTCCCAGCCGATAGTGTGATCTCCCCCCGCGGTCCTACACCCCGTCCGATACACCCCACTACCCTCCTATCGTTTGGGTGTACCGAAACCTCGTCCTTGTGTATTATCTACGGTACTTGTGTGTGTGTGTTATTGTACCGGTTATAACTGTACCTCGTCGTTCATCCCCTGTGCCGTTCTTGACCGTGTACCGTATGCCCTGTACTCTTGTTTACGTCTGTGTGTTCCGTGTTCTGTGGTACTTTATCTCGTCCTTGAGGTACGTAAACAGTTAAGAACTTTAATGAACAGAAGATGTACAGTAGGTCAGTGCTCACAGTGACTGCAAGGTGACCGAGTGAATAAAACTGTGGATAGGAACTTCAGTCGTGGGCGAAAACTGTACTTGATTTAAACTGTACAAGGCTGAAACTGTGCATGACTGAAACTGTGCATGACTGAAACTGTGCATAGCTGAACTGTGCATGACTGAAACTGTACAAAGCTGAAACTGTACATGACCAAAACTACGTCATTGCTGAAAATGTACATAGCTGAAACTATACATGACTGAAACTGAAATTAGCTGACACTGAAATTAGCTGAAACTACATCATATATGAAACTATTGACAAAATAAAACTACCCTACCTGATCGTGCACCAAACATGAAAATCCACAAATGTGTTCGAATAACTTCAGCTGAACAACAACATGAACAAATTACATAACGAATTACTACAGGAATTTCAGTATTGTATTCTTGTTACTATTCTTGATGTAAATGAACTTCAGTAACAATGGACAGTGATGCATTTACTGGTGAACTGAAAGCTTTATTTGGTGATATGTGAAGGTGGATTAATTCTGAGATATTAAGGAGTCTCCAATTAATTTTCTTCTTCATATTTATTATCGTCTTTGTGTCTCTATATCTCCATTCGTTTGTGTTTTCGTCCATTCGTAATTTTTTAGTATTTTCTTTATATTTCCTTTCATTCGTCCTTCTGTCTGTTCGTCAGTGAGTGTTCAACGGGATTTAAACCAATAATGATATATTTTCATCGAACTTGTTATAGAATATAGATGTATAACAACAAGATCTCAAATGGGTTGTATAATCATAACTTTCTGGTGGGATTATACATAGTTATATACACTTGGACTTTACCTGTGGTGCTGTGGTGATAATTGGTGCTGTGAGGCTCTTGAGGAAGGATTTAACTGGTGCTGTGAGGCTCTTGAGGAAGGATTTAACTGGTGCTGTGAGGCTCTGGAGGAAGGATTTAACTGGTGCTGTGAGGCTCTTGAGGAAGGATTTAATTGGTGCTGTGAGACTCTAGGGGGATTCAATTGTTTGCTGTGAGGTCTTAGAAGGGATTTTTCTACCTATAATAGCAAACGTCAACTCCTTTCTGGGTAAACAACATCAAGTTCTATTTACCAATATTATTTAAGGGGAATAATTAAATTTTTAATCATTATACATACAGACAGTCTAGTTACCTGTTAATAATGTACTTTTAATGACTGTTGGTTTATTACAGTCAGTGGATATGTCAGTTTGGTAAGTTATTATTGTCAGAATGGAGGAACAGTTATATTGTCAGGGTGGTATTCTTGCACACACACACACACACACACACAAATTGACATAAAAACAAACTTATTTACACGTTATTTAACACATTTTAGGTAATCTTGAATTGGTCACACTTTGTTTACTATACTGTAAGTAGTGTGTGTGTGTGTGTGCGCGCGCGCAATATATATACTGTGTATAACATAACACTGAGGGTACTTGGAACATTCTTGGCCCGACATGAGGGAGGAGGTGGAGGTGAAGGAGGGGGAAGAAGAAGTGGGGGAGGAGGGGGAGGAAGAGGTGGAGGAGGGTGAGGGAGGAGGAGGTGATTAGGTGGTTAAGAGCCCCACAGGACGCGGTTCATGGCACCACCAGACACCAGATGGCACCTCCTCTTCTACCTCTTCCTCCTACTCCACCTCTCCTCCTACTCTACCTCTCTTCCTACTCACCTACTTCCTCCTCCCCCCTTCCTCCTCCCCCTCTTCCTCCCCCCTCCTTCTCCTCCTTCTCTTCCACCACCTCCTCCTCACCTTCCACCTCCACCCCCTCTTCCTCCTCCACCCTCCTCTTCCTCCTTAATTATCATGGTTCGTGTTAAAAGTCTTGACAGGTCTTAAGTCATGGTTCATTTCAGTCTGATGATTTCTTACTCTGAGGAACATTTTTTTTTTTACTTTGTTTTTCGTCTCATTTTGTCTCATTGTTATTGTTTTAATAGAGGTGTTATGTTTTGTTTTCGTGGACATCTATTTTTTTCCTTGGTTCATCATCAGCTGACTCAAGAATGATAAATTTTTCCTTTGAGTTTTTTATATCTTTATTGAAGCACTGAAACACCTTTATTGAAGCACTGAGACACCTTTATTGAAGCACTGAGACACCTTTATTGAAGCACTGAGACACCTTTATTGACACACTGAGACACCTTTATTGAAGCACTGAGACACCTTTATTGAAGCACTGAGACACCTTTACTGAAGCACTGAGACACCTTTACTGAAGCACTGAGACACCTTTATTGAAGCACTAAACACATGAGGGAGTTGTTTAATATTGACTAAACAGAGGAGGGGGCAGTGCATCACCTCTTTGGTACCCCGGAAGACATACACAATAACTGTAGTGGTGAAGTAGGGTATTACCTTTACGCTTTCTTCAGAGGGCAGGTCTCACGTCCATTTGAATGAGTGTCGTAGATAAGAAAGCTTCAGGGTATACACGCACGAGTACGCCTATGTATCCGAAATACTTAAGGGAAATACACGCACGGCTGATTACACGCATACTGTGTACATACGAGAGATCTGACTTTAAAATTATCATATTCTCTTCCTTCCTCTCTTCTTCCTTCCTGTCTTCCTCTTTTTTCCTCTCTACCTTCCTGCCTTCCTCTCTTCCCTCTCTTCTTCCTCCCTTCCCCTTCCTCTTTCCTCCCTCCCTCCCTTCCTTCCTTCCTTCCTTCCTTCCTTCCTTCCTTCCTTCCTCCACTTATGCTTTTCAAACTTCTTCCTCTATCCTAACTTTCACTATCACCTTTGAAACTTTCTATTTATTTGGCCTCCAGGTTAAGTGAACTTTGTATCAATAAAAATGCTATTAACTAACATAGACCACTATAATTTACTGCACAAATCAAATCAATTTAACACTGTATAGGTATTGGTGAGGAAAGTTGTGGTATTTTATCGTAATTGTGAGAAAAAATCCCATATTGTGTGAGATTTTCTTTTAAGTTACAAAAATAGACATACTGTAATAAGCTATTTTCTTTTATGTACCGAGTGAAAGTTTGTTTGCAATTTATGTTACAAGGGAAGTTATATTAGATTCATTTATTTTTTACTTCAGATTATAAGAAATTATTTTTAAGTAATTTCACTTATTGTGTTGTTTTAAGTGCTTCAATTACTTTAGATTTGTTAAGTGAGTTGCATTACTTTTAAATCAACGTAAGTAATTTAACTGTGGGTGTTGGTGGTTGTTGTTGTTGATGGCTGTGTGTGTGTGTGTGTGTGTGTGTGTGTGTGTGTGTGTGTGTGCGTGTGCGTGTGTGTGTGTGCGTGTGTGTGTGTGTAGGTCAATATCTTTACAATGATATTTACCTTCACAATACTAAAGACATTAACAGAATCGAAATCACATCAAAACAAAAGAGCATCACCTTAGGATACAAGAAATGTCTGAATAACTATAGAGTCAGTAATAATTCCTTATACACACTCAACCTGCGTCTCGATAGGGGGCGCTGAACCTCTTAATGCTTCTTACTGAGGTGAAAGTCGGGGGTTATAAAATGGTTTGGTAAATGGTTAATGTTTTTGTAGAGAAATTATCGTTGCGCTTTTGTTTTGTTTTAAACTTCGTCTATTACTATTAGTTTCTCCACTAAACCCGTCGTTACAGCCAGTAGTATTTAGATATATATTGTTTGTTTCATTTATAATAGTTAGTTAATATAGAAACGAAGTACCGGACATACCAACATATCTTCGTATACATACATACATACCCTAACATACCCTAACATACCCTAACATATCGTTCTATCTCTTTGTATAAAAATCAACCTAAAGTTCCGTCTCTGTCCACTACCGAATCTTAACCCAGACAGTATTGCATTCTACATTATACCCGTATTCACTGAACCTTACCAAGACGAGGCTTTGTATCCGGCTTTACTGTCAAACATCAAAGACACATTACCACACACACTATTCTTTGCCTTAACAATGTCTTCATTTGGCTGCTGCGAAAGAATTATCATTTTTTTTACGTTTATTTGTCACGGTTAGAGCACCATAACACTCTAATGAGAACTGTTTGTGTAGCCATACATTATCTGAAGTTTGTTTTTGTTTGTTTGATGGTTTTCTGGCTATGTGAAATTATAAAACTGATGGTGATTACTAGTGCGTGGAGTTAATAACCAAACATAAACAAAAAACTCGGTAGAAACTCTTGAATCATCCATCAAAGTTTTCATAGAAAATGGAAGTTAAAGAAGAAAATGGCCAGAGACAATGTTTGTTACCGGGAAGACTTGAGAAAGTGTAATTTAGAATCTATGGAGCGGAAATGTGACGCGCGGGAATGTACTGTATAGGAAGTTAACGTATATTGTGTGAGGTGGTGTGAGCGGCCTACAACAAATGGGTTTTGTTTTATTTTCTTAAGGTGACCGTATAGCGACCCCATGATGACGAGGAAATGGTAGCTGACAAAAGCAATGCGGTAAGCTTGTGGCGTCTACCGTAAACAAACATTATTCCAGAAGTGTGTGTGTGTGTGTGTGTGTGTGTGTGTGTGTGTGTGTGTGTGTGTGTGTGTGTGTGTGTGTGTGATATAAAGATAAATTCCTTTAAAAAAACTTTCCTTAGAAGACGAACAGCCAATAAAAAGTCACATAGTTTGTTGTGGATTCTGAACAATGAAGACAATCAATTCTTGTTAAATTTTGAAGGAGTTGAAGAATGACTTAAGACATTTACCCAGAACACTGCCACTGAAACACACCATTTGTCAGGGACGAAAATGGACGAAAACTTGTATGATATCGATGATTACCGGAAAATATGGCCATTATTGGGGGAGAGGCGCTGTGTGGGGAGGAGTTTGGGGATGGAGGGCAGGGAGGTGTTTGGCTACATAAAAGAGACCTTTCAAGTTGTTTGTTGTGGGTGGTGTGTGTGTGTGCAGTGTGTGTGTGTGTGTGTGTGTGTGTGTGGTGTGTGTAAAAAAGAAATCATCCCGAATCCATAAAGAGATCTTGTTGTTGTCATGTCTGAACTTGAAGCTGACAGATTGTATTAAAAAAAGGTGTACAGATTTAAAATAGTAAAACGCTTTTGTCAGGCTTTCTCTCCCGTCAATTTGTTCGATTGTGAGGTGATTACAGATTTGTGATGGGGAAGAAGAGTAGAGGGAGGGGAAAAGAGGGGGAGGGGAGGACTAGGAGGGGGGTGAAGAGGAGTAGGAGAATGGGGGTGAGAATGGGGAGGGGGCCTTACAGCTTGACTTGGTAGTTGGGTTGTGTTATGTTGTGTTATGTTGTGTTGTGTTGTTGTGTTAGAGAGGGAGTTGGGGGAAGAATATTGCCCGTCATCCTCGGTTATCAATATATAGAACGAGGAGAAACTTCAGCTGGACTCTCTTGACCATTTCTTCCTCCTGGCGGTGGTGTCGTCGCTTCGTATCATCGTGTGAGTGATTGATAACTTCTGAAAGTTTCCTTACAGGTCTTTACCACCGATAATTGGACTGTGTAAATCAACGTGTGAACCGTGAAGAGAGTGATGGGGGGAGGTGTGTGTTGTGGGTGAGAGTCACAGCTCTGGGTGGTCACCATGTTGGAGGTGTTGGTGTTAGGGCTGGTGGGCCTCACCTACACCTGCGTCCACACCCTCTTCTTCCTCAACTGCCTCAACTCCCGCAGGAGGGAACGAAGGAGGCTGGAGAAAGTGTATAGAGACAGTATACGTAAGATTAAAGGAAGTGTTGGTGACGTGAGAAAGAGCAAAAAGGAGAATGAAAAGGAAGTTCACACTAAAACCTCGAAAGAAAATGGGATTTGTGTTCAAGAAGAAAATGAGAAACGGGTCGACGACAATAACAAGAATGTTATAGAAGAGAGTTGTGAGGGCCATTTAGTGACACGACTTGTGGTTAAGAGTGGGAAAGAGACTTTACCTACTTCCCAGGAAGAGCTCACAAGCTCACACTGCGTCCGAGTGCAAAATGCCATTTTGCAGCTCAACGATCAAGCCGTGGAAGACAAGCATGACCTTGCAACTGCTCCGGACGGTCCTCCCTCACACCACAAGAATGAAGTCAGCCTCACTATACACGACAATAGCTGTTCGACGCTGACTGTGGACGCAACTGGTCCTGAGTCTCCCTACGGCTACACCATTACTGTCAACAGCAACATGATTGAGGTTCGGGAAGATGGAGAGCCGGCGCTGCAATACACAGACCCACATTACGAGTCCCTGGAGGGCGACCCGCACTCCATCCTGACACAAGTGACGACACTGTGTGACGATAGTGATGGCCGCCACGAGTCTCTTCAAAGAACCACAGATGTGTTTCGGGAAGTACAGGAAACACGTCTCAGCATTGAAGACAGCTGCAGCGCTGAAGATGAGCTGGACGAGACATACCGGAAGTTGTCCAGACTACCTGGTGTTAGGGACGATATCAACCTCGTCACTACCATCTCCCAGATCCTGCAGAGTCCTCCAGAGTCTATGGAACCAGGAAGTGAAAATCAGCCTATGGAAGTCCTCACTACCATTCCAGGGCTCACTCCGACAGACACCAACGCCACTGTCATTGGACAAAGTCATTTACCAGTCGGTGAGGCCGGTGAATGTGGGGACTGGAGGGTGACTGCCAGGTGTGGAGATCCTCTCTTGAAGGGAGATTCGACGAACCATCATGGAGAGAGTTGCAAGAGAAGTGACCGTGACGCAGTAAACCGTATATGGCATCCTCGGAGTGAGGCAGCGTCGGGTAGCCATCAGGGGACGTGGACGCTGCCCAGGGCAGGACGCCGGGGTCCTGACGCCCACGGTTCCTTGCCCAGACTACATGGAAGAATGTGTATCAGCCGGAAGGAGGGTAAGTCTGCCCCTGGCGGCCACACACTCCCTCGCCCCGCCGCCGGCCACTCCGCCAGGCGTGACGAGGCGCGGGAGGGAGGAAACCTGGACCAAGCCCACACCCTCAACACCTGCCATTCACGCCCAGCCATGGCCGGGGCTGCTACCACGCCGCCACACACCGCGCACTACACCATCACCAACGACGACAACAACGCCGGGATTAACAACGAAATTTTGAGTAGTGACAACAGCGGCTCCATCACCACCGCCGGTGACCTAGAGGTGATATCCGTCCACAGTGAAGATCATACTGACAGTGAAGGCTCAGGCGATTCCTTGTATTTCACTGCCAGTGATCATACCAACAGTGATGTTAACAGTTACCTGAGAGGTGACGGTGACGAAGCCTTTGAGGCCACAATATATGAAACAATTGAAACCCCAAATATCCAACATATAGAAAACTCACAATCAGTGACTATAACACTCACAGCTTCGAACCAGACTGATACTGCTTCAAAACACGAGAGTGACGAACACTGTGACACTGATGAGTCTGCTTCATACGCTTATGATTGTAATATTTACGAGGAGATTAAAGGTGATTCGGAATTATCAAGCGAGCAGACGTCAAAGGAATGTTCCGAGTCACAGGAGGACGCCGACAGTGTTGGCTCCGGATCCCAGTATGGGAACATATCCGAATCCGACACCCATGCCGACTCCGGATACGAATCACCAGGTACAGTATCTTGTTCATTGTTTCACAGTTTCTAGAATATGAATGTTTTGGTCTTACGTCTTTTAGTTTGTCTGAAATAAACTGAAACAGAGATTTACTACAGAAGTTACTGTCAGTATAATATCTAACTGTCAGTATAATATCTAACTGTCAGTATCGGTGTCCAGCTGTCAGTATGGTAACTAACTGTCAGCATTGGTGTCCAGCTGTCAGTATAATATCTAACTATCAGTATTGGTGCCCAACTGTCAGTAAAGTTTTGAAGGTGTTGGCGAGTCACTACGAAGAGTTGGTTGGTGGATGGGTAATTCGGGCCAGTGACTCGGACGTTCCATTGTATGTTAGAGAGACAGACAGACAGACAGAAACAAGAGGAGAGAAACAGGTGAGAGGGAAGGGAGGGTAAGCTAGGCAGGTGAGAGTAAGGAGAGGGAGGGAAGGAAAACTAAGCAGGTAAGGGAGCCAGATGAGAGGGAGGGAGAGGAAGTGAGAAGGGTGAGGCAGGAAGTAGAGGAATATTCCCCATCAAAACACAATGAGAAGACGAGAGAAAACGTTAATATTTACTTACTGGGAAACTTACCTAAGACCAGGAGATATTCAGTCAATTTATTAAAAGGGAAAAATTAACGTAGAGAATTTATTAAGAATTGAATTGTTTTTGTTATTGTTTCTTTTTTATTTTGTTGTTATTATTGTTGTTATTATTATTGTTAGTGCAAGTATACCCGTGATGTTTAGGGCAAGTTTACCCAAGATGAGGTTTACATTAAGGTAGATTAACTTTTGTTTCGTTGCACCAATAGACAAAAGGTTTACCTACGGTCACTTTGGTAAAAAAAAAAGTAAATTTAAAGAGGATAGTTTTACCTTTGATAACTTGCCCACGTGGAAAAATTTTAACATTATCCATCAAACTACTTCGTAAATTCTGTCTCATTAAGGTAAAGGGCTAATTACTTACCAATCATCCACAGGTAAATAAACTAAGCTTACCCATTAGTCCATTTGGTTAAGGTAACAAATAAGACTGTTACCCATGATCACTTACCCATGATCACTCACCCATGGGCAAAAAGAAAGGTAAGGTTACCTCTTTAATTAACCTTTCCGCTAAGTTGACCTTCTATAAAAAAAATAAAAGCTTTTCGACGTTTTGTTACTCAGTGAATTCGGTTCCTTCCATGGTTGAGGTGTTGACCCAGTGAGGCATAGTCCTGGGCGCGCTCTCTCTCTCTCTCTCTCTCTCTCTCTCTCTCTCTCTCTCTCTCTCTCTCTCTCTCTCTCTCTCTCTCTTTAATTTTCATTTGTCACTTGAACGTAAGAAGTCCTAAGCTACAGTGCAGAGAGAGAGAGAGAGAGAGAGAGAGGTAGGGAAACTGAGGCTGATACGAAGAGAAGACGTCAGGAGGCAGGAACTCATGTTAGGAAGAACGAAGAAAGGAACGAAGGAACGAGAGAGGAAGGAAGAAGGAACAAGAGAGAGAAAATGAAAGAAAAATCAAAGAACAGTGTTACAGAATATGCCAGACGACGCTACACCAAGAACAGTTTTCGCTACACAATAAAACACCTGTAGTCTAAAGCTCTCCGGTGTGTGAAAGTACAGTGGTTGACTCTGTGTAGAGATAAGAGGTGTTGTACCAGCTGTCGAACTAAGGAACTCAACTAGAGACATTATTGGTGCGTGTAGGAGGAGGAGGTCGTGGTGGTGGTGGAGGAGGTCGTGGTGGTGGTGGAGGAGGTCGTGGTGGAGGTGGAAGAGGAGGAAATGGTGGAGGTGGAACAGGTGGAGGAGGAGGAAGAAGAAGAAGAGTAAGGGAAGGTGGAGGTGTCAGGTCGAGGAATCATAGTATGTTTCTTATTAGTTCAGGTTTAATAAATGCTATACAAGTAATATTTATAATGTAGTAGTATTGATGAGAGTATTATGAGTCTCCTGTAATACTTATGATGATAATAATAACAGTGATAACAACAATAATAATAATAATCATAATAATAATAAAAATAACAATAATAATAATAACATTAACATTAACATTAATAATAAGAATAACAACAACCATAACAACAACACTAACCACAATAATAACCACAATAAACAAACGCTAATTACTACACCTGTCACCTTCCAAATACGTCAATCAATTAGTATGTAAGAGTGCCAAAGGTTCAGCCCCACCTCCCCTCACCCATACACCCCCCTCACCCCTCCACCCACCCCCCTCACCCTCCCACCTCACCCCTACCCCTTACCCCCCCTCTACCCCACCCACCCAGGTAACACTCCATTCATTAAGGTGTGAGTAAGTGGGTGAGGGAGGGAGCAGTGATATGCCCTAAGGTGCTCCTGGCTACACTTCCACTCACCCACCGACCCACCCACCCACCCACCAACCCACCCACCCACCAACACCATGACTTGCGCCAAGCTGCCCTCTGTATTTCTGTTCTATTTACACTCTTAACTCGACCTACATTAAGACGACTTTCGAGTTTCACATACATACATACATACATACATACATACATACATACATACATACATACATACATACATACATACACACTTAAGGCAGCTAATTAGATATATTTAAGGGTTTAAGGTTATTTTACACACGATGGTTTAACTAGAGACAAAACTCTGTGTTTTTCTTGTGTTTTAACACATACAAAGTCCTATTGTTCTACCTATTGTCACTTAGACAAACAGTAAGACAGACAGAGACAGATATAGACAGATAGTTCTACTACTTATATTGACAAAGTAAGTTTATATATGATTACCTGTCTAAATAAGGAATATATATGTGTGTGTGTGTGTGTGTCTTATTTTTATTTTTCTTAATGTGTCTGAATTTGTTACAAATCATTATTTATAACTGTTTTTAAAGATAATTTTTAGAGATTGATTCGTTGTATATATATATATATATATATATATATATATATATATATATACACACACATATATACAACGTCGACAAAAGTTATTTCAGTTCATGTTTTCCACTGAATGTGTGTCAAGGTCACTGAAGATACAGATGGCGTTCCTAAGAATTTTTTTAGGTCCGTTTTTGTTTTTATTCTCTGCCACATAATGTTCTTCAGTGTGATTTAAGCGAATAAGGTCTTTGGTTAAGTGATTTGAGCGCGAATTTAAGTGATAATTGAGAGAAATCCGGATTCGTGTGTAGAACAGTTAATTAAAACGGATTTAAAGTGGATTATTTGATTCGTGAACGATGCAGAGGGGTGAGGGCCCAGCTGTTGTCTTCACGCCGCTGGTGAACGGGCAGTAAAAACACTTTAGTCTTGGTTAAGTTTAATTTCTTAACACGCAACTGTTAAAGGGTTCCTGGGGCAGGTTTCTCTCTCTCTCTCTCTCTCTCTCTCTCTCTCTCTCTCTCTCTCTCTCTCTCTCTCTCTCTCTTTCATATCTGGATCGTGTGGGTTTTTTTCAATCTGTCGACCACATCCTTCTCATCCTCCTCCTTCTCCAGGTAATTATGTCTTACCTGAACCTTTATTGATGTCGGACGGGAAGGGTGTGTGTGTGTGTGTGTGTAACACACACACACACACAGGTACGCGTTCATGCCCATAACGTAGCTGAAATTCCACAACTTAACCAAAACATCAAAGTTCTCGTCTCCTCTCCTTCCATGTGTACTCAGCAGCCGGAAGGAAGTAATACAGGTAGTTTGTATACTTTCCACAGGTAAATTAGTATAGATGTGTATGGGAACCAGTGACGGGGATGAGAGGAGAAATAACTATTATGTGTTTTGCTGTGTTTACATTGTGCGCAGTCTTTGGGTCTCTCTGTCAACGCCACGTGCGCCGGCAGCTGTGTGGCCCAGGAGAGGCGACTTTCTCGACCGATCCACCAATCAGTGTTTACCTCCAACCCTCGCCAAGGAATTTTTGCCCTATGAAAGAAGAGGAGGAGGTGAAGCGGCCACCCACCTGTTGAAGGGTGATGGTGGTGTGTGTACCCTGCTTGTGTCGTGTTCCCTGTTATGTGTTGTTGCCTGCTTGTTGATGTAAGCTGGTGGTGTTGCCTGCTTGTTGGTCCCACTTGCTCTGGGATGACCTGGAGTTTGTTTCGAGGCAGACGTACACAAGTTACACACACACTAGACCACGACCTATACGTACATTCTTCCCACCATTACGCCATCAGAGTCATCATCGAATTACGTCCCAATCGATTCGTGACCCGCTACTCCCGCCTCCCGTGATCAAGGCGACAGGGAGTGATGCTTGTCTACAGTCGCGGTCAGTAGTACGGGGAAGGGAGGCACTTAATTAGACGATTAGATTAGGTTAAGTCAGATTACGTTAGATCAGAAGAGGTTTAGGTTAGATCAGGTTTAGGTTAGATTGGATTAGGTCAGGCCAGGTTAGGTTAGATCAGTTTCGATTAGTTTAAATCGTTAATTATGTACTTGGGAATCGTCTGAGTTAAGCATCAGAAATACTCCATTGACTCAAGAACAAATGGTAGATTAAGCGTTCGTCAGTTGTTTCCAGCGACAGGAGAGGCGAGTGAATTTACAAGTCTCTTTGACGTTATTCTGAGGTAACTTGGGAAGGCGGTCGAGTATATTGCTAGCCACAGTGCCTCCTGATGTACTGTACTGATTGCTATGTCCTCTCTGTTCCTAACTGGCCGCCAGGCTTATGGAACAAAAAGAATGACTATAAACACACGACACTAAAAGAATGATGATGAAAATGAAAACGACGAGAAGAAGTAAAGGAATGAATGGGAAAGAAGAAGTTGAAAATATCTAAAATCCATCGCCGTAATATAAGGAGAAAGTACGAGTTTAAGAAAGTAGGAAAAGCTGCTAAAATACCCACACGAACGAAAGGCCAATGTTTGGCTGCCAGCGTCGACTCGATGAGGAAAGCGTACCCGTTTTTTGTCGGGTCAGCGAAGTGGCCTAACACGGCGGCGGGGCGAGGCACTGCTGGCCAGGGTAGGCTGATGTCTATCCGGGCACTGATTTACGACAAGTGAGCAGTTTTCACTTTCTTAACTCTCTCTCTCTCTCTCTCTCTCTCTCTCTCTCTCTCTCTCATATAACTAAAGAACCTTATCAACCATCACAGATCATTAGTAGTAGTAGTAGTAGTAGCAGCAGCAGTAGTCGCAACAGTAATAGACCAAATATTAGTTACACAGCATCAGTATTCCACAACACACTGACAAGTTTTACCACCATCACCATAACCTCATCACGTCAGACCCGGCACTAAACACGGGTCACGTCATCCTCTCACTGCCTGCCCACCACACCATAACCTGCAGCTACGTGATAGACGGTGAATAAAAGTGAAACGGATTTAACACTAATCGTAAATTGGTGTACCTAAATGTGTAGGTCGTGGCTGGAATGTGTGCAGGTCGTGGTTGGGATGTTAAGAGGATCTTAGACTATGTGAAAAGGATTTTTACGTCGTTTCGGAGCTGAGAATGGAAAGTTTGTCGGTATTTGTATCGAGTTAATGAATAATGGTGAATGTGTGTGTGTGTGTGTGTGTGTGTGTGTGTGTGTGTGTGTGTGTGTGTGTGTGTGAGATATTATACAGTATATAATAATTTCTTTTGTGTTTGAACTAGATGTGTTGGTTTTTTTTCGTTTCAACTGAGAATTGTTTTTTTAAATGTTTCAAAGCAACTTGACATATAGTAATTCAGTCTTGTCATTACTCTAAGCTGAACAGATGAACATAAAACATCAAAGTGTCCAACTAACTGTAATGTGATTAAGTTTATAGACGGAAAAAACATATATTTTGTTTTTACTGATGTTTAGCAACTGTCAAATTGTGCTTGATACTGTTGACATTTCCACACACAAGTACAGTGTTTTTTGGTGTCAGCATCACACACACACACACACACACACACACACACACACACACACACACACACACACACACAAACAGTTTTCTCCTAAACGTTTACACACACACAATACGTCGTTTGTCTTGAGCACAAAGCAGCCTCTCGACTCAATTCAGTACTCTATACACACACACACACACTTCAGGCTCAATACTGGCACACACGCTCATTAGTTAGTTTCATCACACACACACACACACACACACACACACACACACACACACACACTGAGCCATCATCACCTACTCGCCTGACCAGCTTTCTTCTCTGACCGACAGTGAAGGCAGACATACACAGCAGTGACGAGACGGCCTCGACAGCCAGCAGCTCCTCACAGGACCACCACTATGAGGACATCGACCCTTCTCTCATGGCCAGGGCCGCCAATGGAGAAGGACGCACTAGGGAGTCCTCTCGTCGCGGGCGCTCCCTCAAGGAAACCAACCGTAGGGAGTCCTCTAGGGGCGCCAAGGACGAGGGGAGTGGAGAGGCGGCGCGACACAGACAACGCCTCCAGGGACTCGACGACTTGATCGCTGGTAGGACATCAGGATCCTTCCCTCTGTTAGGATTCCCTTGTGATTTAGCTTTGTGGGATTAATTAGTTTTTCTTCCAAATAATCGATTTTAATTTACCTCTCCCATTTAATGTCATAATGTTGATTCATTGTTATTTAATTAATAATCTGCATGTGTCTTTTGCATGTTTATTCTTTTTAATGTTAGTTTATGACATAAATACTTAACCTAACTACAACAGATAATTTAGTTTTTAGTGTAAATCATCAACTTTTGCTTTAAATTAGTTACTAGCTTTTAAACAAATGATTTAATTCTGTATTCAGCCTTCATTAACCCACAACACAGACCACACACCTGACTCTTTCCTCCAATCACACACCTGACCACTATAATGAAATCCTGAACCTCTATCACACCACACCTGACCACCTCAATCACACACCTGACCACTATAATGAAATCCTGACCCCTCGACGCTCGGCCCCCCTACAGGAGTTCCCCCGCCTGACTACGACGACCGAGGGGCGCCACTGAACAACGAATCAGCCAGACCTGACGTTGGTGCCAGTGGACAGCAGGGTAGTAACATCCCTCCACCACCCGGTACGTCCTGGGGGAGGGGTGTAGGGGGGTATGGTGAGAGATAATAAGGAGAGAGGATGAGGAATCGAGGAGAGGGGAGATGGAATGGTGATAAAGAGAGGAGAGATTTTGAGGGAAGGAAGATGAGAATAATGAAAGAGTTGATATGAAGATGGAAGAGGGACAGGGAGAAGTAGATGATGAAAGATAGGTAGAGGAGAAGGAGGAGAGAAGAGAGAGTGAGAAGCAGATATGAGAGAGAGAAAATTAGTGAAAAATGAGAAAATGGACAGAACAAAAAAAAAAAAGAGAGAAAGACAGAGAAAAAACCCTTATAATAGAGATAAAAAAGAGAGAGACTAAAATCAATAACTAGAAAAAGAAATTAGCGAGAGAAAGTGAAGTTGGGTGATAAAAAAAACAAATATTAGTAAGTGGGAGAAAGTGTTTGTACGTTTCAGAATTGTTGTAGTAGTGGTGGGTAGTTCGTGCTTGACCACACCCTACTGCTTGTGCCTGCGGTGTCTCTCTCTCTCTCTCTCTCTCTCTCTCTCGTAGGTTGCTGAACTTCATTTTACCTGACCCTTCTTCTTCTTCTTCTTCTTCTTCTCTCTTCTCTTCTCTTCTCTTCTCTTCTCTTCTCTTCTCTTCTCTTCTCTCTTCACACTGCATGACTAGCTGTACTCTCACCTGTCTTAACCCGTTAATTACTGCCTTTAAACCTGATGCATGGAATTAGAATATTATTTTGATTAATTTTTTGCACAGGTGTAAAAAAACAGGTAAGTGACGTGTTGTTTTTGTTGATTTTTTGTTGTTTTTGTTTTGACTCGTTGGATGATTTAATTGTTTACTCGTTGTTGTTATTGTTGTTGTTTCAGTCATTCTTATTATGGTTTGTAGTGATTTTTTCTTGTTTGGTGTTGTTTATTGTTTGGTTTCCCTTATTTGGGAGGAGTGACCCTTTGTTTTCTAAGATTTGTTTTTCATGTGTTGACCAGAAGTGTTTGATTTGCGATGTAGAACTGGGGGGGGGAAGGGGAGTGATGGAGGGATGAAAAGAGGAAAGAGAGAGAAGTGATGAAAAGGGAAGGTGGAGGGAAGGAAGGAAGGAGTGAGGTCGGGAGAGAGAGAGAGAGAGAGAGAGAGAGAGAGAGAGAGAGAGAGAGAGAGAGAGAGAGAGAGAGAGAGAGAGAGAGAGAGAGTGTGTGTGTGTGTAAAGGTCCCATGTCTCCTCACACGAAAGAACCCAAACGTCTACACTCACCTGTTAACCACGCGAAGTAAATACTGTATGTCCGTGGTGTGATGGAGAACACGACCGCTTGGCCACTCCCTTGGTGTGTGTGTGTGTGTGGTATTATGCAAGAAAACGCTTCAGCTCACGCTATGTAAACACTGTGATCACTACCTCTCCAGTGTCCGAATTTCTGTCATTCTACGGAGCATGAAACGACTGTACTTGGTGGGCAGTTCCTGGGAGTCAATGACACCTCCCTTCACTCTGATAATTACAGGTGTTAGCGTTCCCTTCTCCAATCAACACCTACCTTACCGCCATAACGTTATATAATAAGGCCTCCCGCGGGGTTACTATGGCACTTCCCGGTCTTAATTAATGTTTGGTAGTCTTATGTAAGAGTATTATTATTTTTCTACTACTACTGTATTATTATTATTATTATAAATTACATTCACTCATTTATCATGTTACCATTAATTTTGCATGAAAACAATTTAACTTTCTTCTGTTCCTGTGACCTCAAAACAAAACAAAAGCCCATGGCGGCTCCCTATTGTTTACACGGCGGACATGCTGATGAGCGTGCCGGATGTTTAGCGAGACTACCAATCCGGGTTACCACACGAGGACAGGGTACACAATGAGTGTAAACGTACATTGAAATATATCACCTAACTGGTGCTAATTAATGTATTTAGTGAAAGGTAGAGACTGGGTGTAGCTTCAAGGCAATATTTGTTTTAGCTCAAGTGAGGTAATTACAGAATAGAAAGATTTGTCGATATAAAGAAGAAAAATTTACAGTAAATTGATTTTATTACTATTGTCAGTCTGTCTCTCAATTCATTTAACCTCACAATAAACTGTTAAAAAAATGTAGACACCATTCATTCTCAACTGGTTTTAGAGGGAGATAAAAACTAGACAATTGACGTTAAAAAAATACGCTGGAGACCCTGGACTCTCTCTGTCCCTCCCTCCCTCCCTTGGGCAGAGAGAGAGAGAGAGAGAGAGAGAGAGAGAGAGGATTAAATTACCCCCGTTGTCTGAAAGAAATAGATGCCAGAACCTAAAATCACGTCATTGATCCACCGACCTCAAATATAGCTAATTGGCTGGATTGAGTAGCCTATTTATGCGATCCAGTAGCCTATATTTACGGGGTTTGATAGCCTATTTACAGTACATGTGTTTATGATAGCTTATTACATTAATTCATAACCCTATTCACGGGGCTTATCTTGAACTGAATACCAATCGTAATATGAGAAAAAAATTAATTTGTCAATATATAATGAAAATTTGAATTACTTATAGCGCAATGTTTAACTGTTTGCATTATACGTTACTCGGTAGTGAGGTCAAGAGGGTTTGTGGCTTGATGGAGGCCAAACGTAATACCGGAAGGGAACCGGACCTAAATTATCATACTTGAACCGCGGATTAGGTAAGGTTAAGGTTAAGTCAGGTTAGTTAGGCTGTTAGATTAGTCGTAAGTTAGGTTAGATTAGGTTAGGCTTGAATATGTTAGGTAAGGTCAGGAAGTATATTAGGCTAGGGGTAAATTAGATTAGGTTAAGCGAGAATGTTAGGTAAGGTCAGAGGTTAGGTAAGTTAGGTCAGGCGTTAGTTACATGTATCTGCGTATACTTGTACGCGTTCGTCAGTGCTACGCTTTGTTTTCTTTATGTTTTCACTAGTGCTGTTACCTGTACGTATTTGTTTGTGCTGTGTCGGCTGTGCGTGTCTACCAGCCTCACCGCACTTACTGAGCGTCCGTCCGTCCGCCTCAATCGGCAGTACTATAACCCGGGTTGATAAGGCATTAAGTAAAGAAAATGTTATATACTATTATAGTGAATTATTGCTTACCAAAGTTTGAAAAAGTAAAAGTATAGGAAAACTGCACCGTACTAAAGAAATGATACTTACCAAAGTTTGTAGGAAGTCAAAGTATAGACTATTGTCATTGTTTGGCAGGGAATAATGTCCAGGATATATTCATTTACACAGAATGGATATTGTTAGCGTTTCGAATTTGTTTACACCGAGTTCTAGCGAATATTAAGACCACGCAGGAAATATTTCTGTGTATTACATATTGCCAAATTCCCGACAGTGTTCCGTACTGTGTAAAAGAGGAATCGAGTTTGGAATTCGTAGGAATGCAAGAGTGTGTCATCAATTATGCAGGTATTATGACAAGGTACCACAAGAAGCGTTATGTTTTCTTTGAGCCCATATGTGTACGGTCAGGTGACATTATCAACGTCTCCTGTACAATCAGAGACAAAAGTCGTGTCGCGGTTGTCCGAAGATTAAATATAACCTGTGAAACATTATGAGAGCCCTACCACAAGGCAGTGCACCAAAAGTTTACCCCTTCGGCATGTGTTTTACCAAATTTCACGACACGACTTTTGTCTTTCATTGTTACACACAAAATGAGACTCGTCGAGAAATTTTTTGTATCTGTTGACTTTCATAAATAATTTAACTTGAAAACTATAAAATTGTATCGAATTAGGCTGTATTGACGCCTAAACACACACACACACACACACACGCACACACACACACACACACACACACACGCACGCGCGAAAAATCACACTTTTGCGCTTTTGTCAATTGTCTTTATTTCCCGTCACTTGGTTGTCACTGTCACCCAATCAACGATACACAACAAGTCTGTTATTAGCGAAATTGGCCATCATTTTCGCAATTACTCTCCGTTACGTTCATCACAAGACCTGTTACGTGTTGTGAAAGCTGAAAGGCGAAAAAAGTAAGTTTTCTTAAATGCGGTGTTTTCTTAAAGTCTCAAAATAGCTTTCTAGAATATGGTGTTTTATCTTGTCTGTCTTTCCACGTCGTATTTCACATAAGTTTACTTTAAAGTGATGTTTACCTTGTCCCCAAAAAATCTAAAATATGTTTACTTGGTCTCAAAATATTCTAGAAAACGATGTTTCCGTCGCCTTAAAATAAGTTAATGAAATATAATGTTTACTTCAGCCATGGTCTCTTTCCTTCACAGAGTTTGTTTACGTGTCTATCTGGCTCCTAGTTCGCTAATCTCCGACTTTCTTGAACATATTTCTTTCTCTTTCGTTTCGGTTGTATTTTTACACTTTTAGTGGTACCTTTACACTTTTTTAACCATTTATTTAACCTGAAGTCATATATTTACTCATTTATTTATGTGTTTGTATTTAAATCATTGTATGTCTAATATATTAACCACAGGTTGAGTGTTAAGACGTGCATTTACACTTAGATTTCAAGTATTTGGTTATGTAATATCCCTTTAAATGTTATTAAAGATATTCCTTACACTATACTGTACTACTATATCCGGATATTACCAGACAATTGTGTTATCATCATTTTCATATTATAAGGACGTCTGCTGTGTTATGTAATGTAGTATAATATTATGTTGTCTTATTATACGGTAAAATTTATGTATACAAGACAAGGAAATCGTTGGGGAAAAAATTACCTGTTTATTTTAAGCGAAGCCATTAGCTGCCTCAATTTAATTCTATGTGAACTACTCAAGTAATTTGTGTGAGTGAATGTTTCTTGCGTGCTTTTCCCCTAAAATAAATAAATTAGATAATGGTTCCTCATTTAGTAGCCTGTTTAAGTGGAGGTTATTTAGCAAGTGTTTTTCACTCGCTAGAATCACTAGATGACGAAGATGAGAAAGTTTGGGGGATAATGTAAGGTTATGGCCGTGAGTATCGTACGATGGTTAAGTAAGCGGATTTCTTCTTTCTTGACCTGAGTGATAGATGGTTTTCGCCCGCTTGGTTTCTTTTGTTTTTGTTTTTTAATTATTTTATAGGGTTTTAGAGTAGTTTTATGGCTAAGTTTTTAATTTTTATAGTTGTTTTGGGGTTTTGTAGTTTTCTTTGGTTTTTAATTTCGTTTTAATATATATATATATATATATTTTTTTTTTTACAGGTACAGTTTAACACACAGACAATGAGCAATTTTTAGTCACACTTGTTCACCCTAACAAAGGATGAGAGACCGCGTGCCTGAACAGTTGAGTCTCGGTACAATTTCCTCACATTTTTAGGCGCTATAGTGAGCTGCGTTCCCACGTCACCACTTCGGGGGTAAATTAAACTTAGGAGTGTACAAGAATCCGCGTCCCGCCTGTCCAGCAAAAGCGGACCGACTGTAAGTAGCGGTAATTGAACAGTTAAGACCCGCCCACAAACACGGTAAATGTGACCTGTTTGTAATGGATATAGCGGGTATAGTGAGGTTGTAGTGTTGTGCTTCCGCCTCACCACGTAAATGGGTAAACAGACAGACAGACAGACAGTAGGTGAATAGACTCCCGTGTTTCGTTTCAAAATACGTCTGTCTGTGTGTGTTGAGGAGGAACTTTGTGGGAAATTTGAACTATGAAAAATCTGACCATTTTGGCTCAAACGGCAAAATTTAAACTATTAACATGAAGATTTTTTTTTATGCCAAACTCATGAGAACATTGTATATGAAACTAGAACACTTGTCTTTAAATAGTTCGTAGGTAGAAACTATGCAACATTAAATTTATCAGTTAAATGTTACAGCTGTTTCTATTGGTGGATTTTTTTATTAAAGTGACTGGTTAATGGACGCCATGAGACGTTTTTCAATTCTTAAAAAGACAAAAATGTCTTGTTCTTTGGACATGGTACAATTTTCTTTATCTTTTTCTAATTAATGTTCAACAAAGGGGGAAGTAACGTCTTAGCAACATCGTTTTAGACCCTAACACTATATATTACCAGTAAGTAGGTTGTTTAACACTTGTAATAACTAATACTAAAACTAATGAGACGACCAGGATATATGTCAGGAGTAAATTTTGCAAAATGTCTAAAAAATTTGATTAAAAAGAAACCCCGAGTCAGTTTTATTCACCAGATTTTTTTCATGGATATCAGATGAGTTAATTAAATGATCAGATATGAAATACGGCGCGAGTGTTAGTTGAGTACTGTACCGTCCGAGAACTACCGGTAGCCGCCGCTTAACTAGGTAACAGGGTCACAGGGGCCTACACGCCGCTCAACATACTGTGAGAAATTCCTCCTAGCCAATCTCAATAATACCAAGCATTCCCTGTACCCTGAAGGTAATAATAACATTTTTTTTTTTTGCGGGTGGGGGGAGGGGGGGTCAGGAAAATCACTGCTACAATTAACTTAATGACCTCATGTATGACTCTCAATATAAACTCAATAGCCTCATGTATGACCGCTGCAATATAAAGTGCCCTGCTTGATGTGAAAGAGTGTAGCATGACTTCAGTTGCTTGATGTATGATTGTATCAACTTAACCAAGGGTGCCTGATGCAAGTACGTGAAAAAATAAATAAGTTTGATGATAGCTGACCACCTGAACATGACCATAACCCGCGTGGTATAAGAGTGTATTATAGAATAGCCTCGTTTGCTTGACGTACTACCCCGTCAACATAATCTAGGCTGCCTAGCGTGAAAGCGTGGAATACCTTGTTTCTGATACGTGAGGTATGACTGTATAAACATGAAACTGGCACAAGCGCATTAAATAGATATCTGTTGTCTGATGCACGTGCGCTTTGATGTGGATCTGCTTGCCTGATGAACGAGACTGGCTGTATAACAATATAAAGGTTGATGTACAGTAGCTAAAACAACTATCTGTGCACACTTTGTGGGAAACAATACGAGACCATGGACGATATGTTTTGGTATATGAGGGCTGTCACTAGTCACACGTAAAATTTCGGAGCATATCGACCACCACCTGCACAGATAGTTGCTTTAGCTATTGTACGAGCGTGTAAACAGATTATGAGGAGAAACGTAAGATGGCATGTCCTCAGGATGATGGACAAATTATTTCAACTTGCTTGATGCACGGATGAGTAATTATAACCTCGATGCCCGATGTATGTTCTTGTACAATTAACCAGCGTTGATTAATATACAAGTAACAATACAAACGTTTAACATTAACCATTGTTGGCTGATATACGCTTTTGCTACGTTATCCGACGTTGGTTGATGTACAAACTTGTGCACCTAACCTACGCTCTATGATGTAGAAGCGTGTGAACATCTGTGGTCCAGCAGGTCCGCTGAGGCACACACGCCATATGGTGGTGGTGGTTACGTCTGTTGCTGTGGGGAGACCTGCTGGCTCTCACCTGGCGGACGAAGAGCTCACCAACTCTTCATAGTTTACTGACTGTGTTGTGTTTTCCCTTCTGTCTACCTGTTTGCTTTTATATACCAATTTACTGAAAAAAATACGCAATATGGTTTAGTTGGGTCGTTTGATCCTGTTGAAATTTCCTTCTCTGATGATTGATAATTCTCGTTCGATAAAGATATAGTGAAGAAAGTTTATGTGAGTGTATCATCAGATGACCTGCATAACACTAGGTAAGAACTCTAGGTCAGTTATCAAAGTTACAGCTGAAGGTCACAAGTCATTACTATTATATTGTATGTGTTTCTTTCGCTCCCTCTCTTAATCATTCTCTACTGCAACATTTTTCCACGACAAAATTAACTGAATAATTCTCGCTGTTCAACAGAAGTACTTGAAAACACTGACTACAATATGATTATTTTCATCTCCCAACTCCTCCTCTTATTAGATCATTTCTAGAGTTCATAGTTCACCTATACTAAGAAAAATAAATAAAATAAAAAAATACAAGTCAGCGACGAATCCGAGACAGTCGACCCAAGTGCCTTCCTCGTGTCTGAAGGTTGGCGACCATTACCCGCCACTCTTAATATTATGATTTTGCTTTTTCATTAATCATCATAAATTTTGTATCTCCCCGGAAACTGCAGCTTTTAGTTTTATTCGTCTATTATTGCCTTTCCCTTCACCTGGGCCTCCTTTATCCATTGATATGTCTCCTCATCGTAGTCGTCAGTAAATGTTCGCTTCGTATGTTAACTGTTTCAATCATATATCAGAAATAATTTAAGTGAGAAACTATTATCGGAAGACTATTTTTTGTATCATAACTGATGTTTGCTTTCACAAGATAATGTCAACCAGTCGTTGTTTTATTCATGCATTTGGTCCCGAAGGGAAACTCACTGGGAGTTGAGGGCGTTTGGAATATATTTACTTTTTTAGTTTGTTTATAACGTTAAACACTTTTTTTTCATCATATAGCTGTATTTTTTTTAATTGCATATTAATGTAATATCACAAGTATAACAATGATGGTATGATTGGTATGAGTGACTATGAATGTTCTTGCTGACGTCATCAAAACATTGGAAGACTCCACTTAGACATCAAATACTCATTCTCTCCTTCTTCATGCAGAATTCGGTGACGGCAGCGGCAGAAATGTTAATGGTGAGGCTTCAGGGCGCCGCCAACTGCACTCGACGCTCTCGGTGCCTCCCTTATCCTCCAGCGGCTGCTTCCAGCACCTGGCCCGAGCACCTCTCTCCCGCACCAACTCGGAGCCCCCGCCGCCCCCTCCACCCCCCATGCCAGCCGCCACTCCCTCGCCCAGGACCTCCCCCTCGACCTCCCACAGGTCTACTGAGGAGGTAGATAATGCTTCACCAGTGTCCTCCAAGCCGTCCTCCCCAAGGTCCACACACACACCATTCGAGGAGAGGGATGATGACGAAGGCCCCAGTGAAGAGGGCGTCGTGAGGCCGTCAGATTTCATTAGAAGAAGCTCTCAGAGGAGTGAGAATGGATCTATGAGAGGTAATGAGAGTACAATTTTTACCAAACTTTATATATATATATACAGGGTATATATTCATTTGAAGAAAGTCTGTTGTATTTTATTAAGGATCATGACATCTTGGGGATATAACACTCACCTGACCCAACAGTCTAATTTTAAACAGTCCAGCCAGGCCATTGAGCGAGGCAACCCCAGTCAGACCAGCTGCAGAATTGGTCATAAGCTTTACATCTGTAGTAGTGAAAGGTGGCAGAAAGTAGTGCTGGCCACACTGCTTCGTGGTGTGCTTAGGCTTAGTCTTCAGTGCTCTGTTTCCATGCTTTCTCTAACAGTCCAACAAGCCTATGGAACCCACTCATAACAAGGAAGAACAATTTTAATACTCATGTCTTTTTATTCAGTCTTTTCACAGCATTTAATTAAAAATGTTAGTGTCTGTTTGTTTACTTGTATTTATATTTCAGGGCACAAGAAAGTGGACCGACCTGTGTCTCTGCCACTGGATGATGGCGACCACTATGGCAAAATTTTGACTGATGGAAGAGATCGAGACTCTCTTGGTTCAAATGAGGAGCTTAGCCAGTCTCCTCATGCAGGAAAAGCACATCTTATAAATGGTAAAACTCTGCCATTCATCCCTCCTAAGTTCCCAACACAGCCATCGTCAGACTCAGGTCTCATCAAGCCCTCTGAGTACCTTCGCTCTTTGGGCGGGAGCATTAGTCGATCTCCCTCAAATGGTGATAGCAAGTCACTGCATGGGTCACCACATGGGAGTGACAGCTCATCACATTCTTTTGATAGTCCAGATAACACTATCAATACTTCCCCACACACATCATTACCCCCAGGACCTCTGCCAGCAATCCCCGAGTCTACTGAAGAAGAACCAACCAAGGTTATGGTTAATGCACCTCCACCTCCCCCAGCTCCCCCTGCACCTCCAGCATCATCTACAAACACAATGCCCAGCAGAAACAACACTCTTAACAACAACAACAACAACAATGGCAGCAAGACAGTCTTACCCACAATTAGCGTCACAGACCTACAGAGCGTCCAGCTGAGGAAGATAGAAACCAAGGTCGTAAAACCTACCTCTGGTTCTCTCCGAATGTCGCTTAGTAAGTATTGTACTTTGTTTGGCTCAAGAGAGGCTTCAGCTCTCCTTCATCACTAGCTGCAATATTTCTGAGTGATATCCATTTGCTAATTAAGAAATCACTAATATACAGCATGCCCTTAAAATTTGCGGGCGTTTGGGTCTCAAAATGGCCACGAATAGCCAAATCCGCTAATATCATTTGCTGACCGGGGAAGGGGGGTTACATTTTTACTCGTGAGCAAAGAAATGTATATTCCCTTTGTGTTTGCCCTTAGGACAATTATTTCTTTTACCTGTATTGTATGTGTGTGTGTATGTGTAGACACACACACACACAAAACACATACAAATAAATAATAATGGGTAAATTCTCTCACAAATAATCAGAAACATGACAACAAAAAGTATTGAAAAGTAGAAAAAATGTGAGTCTACTCTCATAAGAACATAAGAATGGGGGAAACTGCAGCAGGCCTATTGGCCTGTACTGGGCTGGGCAGTCCCATTTACACCCAACCCCTATCACGCATATATCCATCCAACCTATGTTTGAAGTTATCCAGCGTATTTGAGTTATTGAACATGTTTGGTAACTTGTTCCACTCATCCACTACTTTATTTCCAAACCAGTGTTTACCTGTTTCGCACCTAAATCTAAATTTGTATAATTTAAAACCATTGTTACGAGTTCGCTCCTAGTTGGATAGTTTGAGTACCTTTGTTATATCACTTTTGTTTAGCCCTGACTTCCATTTATAAACCTCGATCATATCGCCCCCTCACTTTACGCCTCTCAAGGGAGTGCAAATTAAGATGCTTTAACCTGTCTCTGTACTCAAGGTTCCTAATGCCCGGGATTAGTTTTGTCATTCTCCTCTGAATTCTTTCTAGGGATTCTATATCCACTCAGTAATACGGTGACCAGAATTGAACTGTGTAATCCAAATGAGGTCTCACAAGCGCAAGATATAGTTTTAGGATGACCTCGCTAGTCTTGTAACTAACACTCCTCTGTATGAACCCAACTACTGTACTGTACTTTGTTAGCCTTGTTTCGAACAAATACACATTGTTTACTTGTTTTAAGATTTCCACGTATGATTACTCCTAAATCTTTCTCAGTCGGATTTCTCAAGTCAACTCCGTGCTTTGTTATTAAAGTTGAGTTGGTTGGGTTGCCATACAGCAATTTTTTCCTCTTAAAAATTGCTGTCTCTAGAACGAATGGCTCCCTGTCCCTGCTGCAAAAATGACGGCAACTTTAAAACTACCCACATACATTCTTGGGTACATCCAAGGTGTCATCTGCGAATCAAAAATTCACGAATTGTAAGGGCATGCTGACTTTATTTAAAGTAACTTGAGACTAATACTGTACACTGTATATGCTTAGTGGAGATACTGGTAATCTGCTAACCAATTGTGTTTGGGCTACTCTCCCTGCTGAATTAAATCATCTGGTGTTAGTCATTAAAATATTAAAAATGGCATCCCCATATTGAAGGAGTTAAGGAGTATGATATCAATAGCTACTCCTCTACTTACGACATACTCGACCTACGACCACCCGGACATACGACCACCTCAGTCGTACCAAAAAATTTTCAAATTACGTATTTTCAAGTCCCAACGTTTGTGATTGCACTGTGTACTGACAAAAAAAAATTTTAATTCACTTTAAAATGGCTGGCAAGCTTAAAAGTGAGAGTTTTGTGGTGCTGAGAAGAAAAAAAGACACCCATTTTAAATTTTCTATGTATTATTTAAGCATTTCCGACTTACAGCCTGGATTTGGGTCCCTAACCCCGTCATAAGTCGAGGAGCAGCAGCTGTATACTAGTTAAAATTTATATATTTTTTTATTATACTGTTATGGCTTATGGGTATATTTTCCAACAGCACCTGAACCATCTTTTACAACTGCCAAGAATGATGTTATCGCTGAACTGAAGATGGGTGTTGATATTCCCGGCATCAAGAAACTTAAATCAGAACGCGCTAAGGAGGAAGAAATTCATGTTAAACTTGAAGAAAAGCAAATAAACCGCCAATTCTCTGCCACAAACTTTGTGGATCAGGTGAGTTAAGTAACCTCAAACTATTGTGACGGCAGAAGGGTAAGTTCATTTACAATTATCATATCATATAGGATATGTAAATTGAATAAATAAGTAAAATTATATATTTATGAATCTGGTATTGCCCTTATTTTGTTATAAGTACGTAATGCAATATTATCATCAATGACTTGCTCAAATATTCTTACTCGTTTACTAAGTTATGTACAGTATGGCTTTTCATGCAGTCACGGCAGAATTGTCCTAAAACATTTCCAAACCTGAAGTGCTGTAGAATGCTTTCATAAATATCAAATTACCATTGTGTACCTTGGCATAGTCATAATTTTGTTGTAGTAACATAAGAGAATGTGTGGCACTCGACCCTCTTACTTGAACGATGTCAAATTTGTAAATTGTAATCACAAACTTTTTCCTTTTACAGTGTGTAGTTAAAAAAATAATCATTAACCACATTGTTCGGGGAAGCTTTACCAAAGAAGAGGTACAGGGAGTGCTTTAAGGGATTTTGTACCTCAGTTTAATCTTTCAACATTTCTCACAAGAAACTTTAGCCAAGTGATCTCAATCTCCATTAATTATACATTTTTAAAGCTCTATATAGTTATAGAATGGTTTGTGTTTATGTATTTCTGTATTAACTGATTTAGTAAATATATGGATGTTTGGTAGCTGTTTGGTGGACCTTTAAGAAAAATATTATTGTACCCCCCCAACTTTGTTTTGTTTAAGATTACTAATTCATAATGACAACACAGGTGCCTGAGGTGGACAATGCAGGAAATCGGATCCCAGAATGGAAGCGCCAAATGCTCGCCCGGAAGGCTGCAGAGAAGGCCAAAAAAGAAGCCGAGGAGATGAGGCTACAGGAGGCTGAAGAGAAGCGTCTACAGTCCATCCCTCCTTGGAAAAGACAACTAATGATGCGAAAGGACGATGACGGCAGCAAGCGGTGAGTATGACAACGAGTATACCATACTCATACAGTATGGTAATAGACACAATAACAGACTAGCAATAGATAAGGTATTTGATAGATTAAAAGCATGAAATTTAGAGTAGAATCCCAACTTATGACTAAAACCATTGTTCTTGGATTATACTGTACTGTACACTTAACCTTTTTAGTGAAGAGCATTATACCTGTACAGTACTCTGGAATGAGGTATTTTATTTATATTTTTGTCCAACTTTTATAGAGCAGTCTTAGTGGACCAGTCTGTCAAGCCAAAAAAAAACTTTTTCTTGATGCCATCTCCTTCCATTGACATGTTGACATTGTGGTGGTGGTATGAGAAGGAAGCCATGTACCTAGTTAATGGTTTAATGACACTGTGGTCTGATTACTCAAATGACTGATTTTGCACTGGCCTTCCTGATTGACATTGCTTTACATTTATCAGATAATCTCCCTTGTGTTACCAACTTTCAATCACATTGGAATATTTCACCACTTTTTGGTACATCATTTTTCAGTACAGAGCTTACAATAGTATTGTAATACTGTACTGTACATATCCCCATGCTGTTTTTCCATTTGTAATGTAAAGTATTACATTAGAGTGTTTCATGCATGAATAACTAAATTAAACCATACTTGAGGTACTGTACAGTTAGGGAAATGTGTTTCTACACCCAGTGGTAACCTGTGTCTCCAAATGGCCAACCTATATGACCTATAGCAAACCTATCCACCAATCACGTCCGTCGTTACACGACCAATACCCACCCATTCATAAATAGTGATACTACTATTGTGACGTTGCTGTTTGGAGACACGGCTTACCACAGAGGATGTAGGAACACATTTCCACAACTGCACAACCCTATTGAAAAGAAATTAAACAGTGACCAAAAAGTGATGATAGCTGCTATTCCTTGTACATTAGTACTGTATGGGGTGCTTGTTGGCTGCATGGTTGTGGTTATGTGAGACAGTAATGTACTGTACTGTCTCCTGGTAAGGTTGTAGTTGCTGGTTAATTCCACTTATTTACTTTGTCATTTAGGCAAATCTACAGTAAAGAAGAACATTAAACTCTTATTTTAACCTAATGTCCTGGTTATTAGAAAGTAATTTTGGTAATGCAGGACCATAACCATATATTTGAGTTACATTACAGGTCCTCAGATAAACACTTCCACTGTCACACTATATTTTGGCCCCATTCTTCTGGTGTTCAGAGTATTTCTTATACAGCACAGGTAAACCTCGAGATATGATCGGGTTACGTGACTGAAAAACCCATCGCTAGGTGAATTATCGTAGCTTTATAACGTGGGTTTCAATGGGATACGTTCCCAGCCAGTTGGGGCCCCAAGCACACATGTATCACCGACAAAAAATTCCTACAATACTACTACCAGTACATACATCATATTGTATAAGTCTGGTCATAATCACATGTCCCCTATGAGGCTAAGGGGACTCTTGAAGGTGGAATGGAGACATCAGTCTGACTCCCATACAGCCTCTGGGGAGTATCATGCTTTTTAACAATGTCAAGCTTCTCCTCCAGAGACATGTTTGTCTTGGATGCCTTGGCCTCCCCAGACATTTTCAAAGTTACACTGCTCACTTCATAGTCACAATAACAGAGCAAAAGCACCTGTCACAAAAACAGATCGAACGATGATAACAAAAACAATGATAGCAACCGACACTGCTCACATTTTCAAAACAACAGTCGACGCACCTTAGTCACAAAAACACAGAAAATATTACTTCACAGTCACCATAACACAGGTTAGTGCTGTCCTCTCACTATATAAGAAAAAACACTGACGATAAGTACAAAGTACGATGCTGTCTGATAATCGTGTAGCAATACAATTGCAGGTTTATGATCAACAAAAAACCAAGGGGAGGCCTGTAGTGCACAGGTTGGCCATGTGGCAGTGCGTCGGTAGACTTATAAGTGAAGGTAAAGCTGCGTGGTACTTAGGATTAAATATTGTTTCATTATAAAATGTTACTGACTGGACATAGTAAAATGTAATTTGTATTGCTGGAATCCTTGCATGACGGCAATTAATTTAAGTATAAATAACCCATAGTTTACACTAGAGAACAAAATATCCGACCAATGGATATCAATGGATATTTGATGGATATTGTTAAAGCGAGTTGTTTTGATCGTATATAGTGAGATGGTGTTACTTTATAACCATCGTTAAAGTGAAATATTGTATCTCGAGGTTTACCTGTATTTACGTTGCTGTATAAATATCATAATATAGCTACACCTTTCTCTTACTGATAAAAAAAACATTATTTCCTTTATGAAACTATAGGAACTGAGTGAAGATTTTAATAGGTTGTAAGTTTAGTAAACATTTAAACTTATATTTTCCAGTCACAAGTTTCTTTACTTGTAGACTTGAAGAAATATTATCATTAATACAGAACTGTAAATAAACTTTTTAACATTCTAAATATTCATAATTTTCAGAGAATTTAATAAACACCAATAAATACATAAATACAGTGTTATTAAGGGAAGATTCTTTGTCATGTAGAATGGATTCTGGCTTGAGCTGTGAATCAAGTCACTTGTGCACCTCGTAACTTATATTCACTGTAGTTTTTACGAACATGCGTACAGTAGTGTTATAAGTCCCTGTGATTGGCCGTATTTTACAGTGCAGTACTTGCCAAATCATCTTAATGTGACCTCGTCAAATTAAACTAAATGCATAGAAATCAGGTTTCCTTATACAGGCATACTATTATATATACAGTACATTGTGTGCTCTATATTCTCTAATTCGATATTGAACTTCAGAGAATCTAACAAAACTCTGTACAGGAGTAGACGCACACATACACATCCTTGTCACACTAAAGTCCTTTCCTGTATCTGTCTACTGTAATAATTTCTCTCTTGTTTTTACTTTTTGACTTGACTGGTATTAGGGTATACGTATTTGCAAGGTTGTGATTTTTTGGGGATAATTGGCTGTCAATGCTTTGGGATACTTAGCTGTTTGCTACTTGGCTGTCAATACTTTGGGATACTTGGCTGTCATTGCTGTCTGCTACTTGGCTGCCAATGCTATCTACTACAGGTACTTGTTATTGCTGTTTGCTACTTGGGTGTCAATGCTTTGGGATACTTGGCAGTGACTGTTATCTGCTACTTGACTTCAAACAGTGGCTGCAGGATAGCTACTTAATTTTATCAGGTTTGGTTAGGTTTTAAGGGATTAAGTTAGACAAATAGAAGATAGAACACACAGCTGAAGCAGCTCACGTCAGAACACTACTTGGGGTCACTTAATTTCATTTCCCTTCTGAAGAAAATATTCAAACAAAGTATTGTACCAGCTCTCAGCACCCGACCTTCCCTTTGCTGGGGTTCTCATAATTTGGTCCTCTTGTAAATATGGTGCGATACTATTTTTAATAAAGTAATGACTATAATCTTCTGCATAGAATCTGTGGGTGTGCTTACTCGATCAATTCACCACTAAGTTGGAGTGAATGAGATAAGTTGGTTGTTAGGTCTGCTTGTTTTACAGGTGTTTTTCTGCTTAATGCTACCTCAGCTTTAGGAAATCAAATGAGGCCTTATAAATACTTTTGCCATAAAATACCTTGATCACAAAATTCCTCGCATATTTACAATACATTAACAAGGTAAGTTTTCCTCTTGCTGATACAGTTTTATTTTTATACTCTAGTACAATAGAAATTACGACACTCATGCTCGATAATGACATAATTTGTCTAAGATTTCTACTTACAGCTTGGAACCACACACGGACAGACTGATGACAGTAGTGACTCACTGACATTGTGTTTTAAGTGTTTGTGTGTAGTCAACATCAATTGTCATGCACACAATGTTTACAGCCGGTACAGTAGTTTTGGAAAATTTACAAACTTTTTGCTAAAGTTTGAGACCTGTGCTTTGAGAGGGTTAATTTTATATTTGTTTCCACTGCAGATCTTCAGTTCAGTAATACAGATAGAGTATATAAAGAATGTAAAAAATATATATACTGTACTGTATATATTAAAATGTGTAGTGAAGAACAGCAGTCTAGATTGATAGATAGATATTTATCCAGTAAAAATTGTCATATACAGTAAGTTTACATTGATTCAGCATGTATATAGACAATTCAGGTATATACAGTATTACAATAATTATTTATAACATTAACATAGACTTCAACTTCAAATTGTCAGTCAAACAAATTAGTTTCTTGTGTAATCTCTGCATATATTATTTGCATTCAGCATTTTTTATGGATAAACTGTATGTTGAAGAAGGTCTTGGGCAAGGTTATCAGAGCATGTCTGTCACTTGCTCAAGGATGATACACATGGATATTTACACACTGCTACACTTCCTTGGTTTATTCATAGTTGGGGATAATATCCAGTAGTTTCATGTACTGTAAAAATATTCTTGTAAATTCAGATAAGGCATTATTATCCCAATAAAGACACTATTATACAGTACAGGAGGGTTTTCACATCAGTCATAGTACTTCACTTGTACAGGAAGAGTGTAGGATGGATGGGCATTATTTCATTTGTTCACACAAAACCAAGATGACTGGAAGAGTGTAAAAATCTGTTTGGTGTCATAGCTTATTCACTGGACCTGTCTCAATCCTTGGAATCTCGTTGGTTGTTGTTTCAGTGACCATCCAATCACAGCACGCACGCAGTCTCCAGTCCGCATCGCCCTGCACGTCAAGCACTAGATTCTAGAGTGAGTGGTGGCTATAGTTGGGCAAAAAGCATTGCTTTTATCTTGAAGGCTTCAGAGTTTTAATATAAATTTTTTCCTCAAGGTTATAGTTGTATGGAATTTGTGTACCAGTTATCTAGTGACTGGTTAACCAGGACCAGCATTTTCCACAACATTTTGATAATTGTAAAGAAGGAATGTTTGTGTGTTTGTTTGTTCTTTAATTCGGTCACTCTTCATTATACCAGAAGGCTTGAGAGTACAAAATAAAAAATTTATTTTTAATAAGTGTAACGTACATTCCAGAAGAAAAGCCTGAGCCCCTGACAAGTAATGTTGTGAATAAATAAGATGCTGGTCAAACCATGAATTCTTTACAGTATGATAGGTGCTATATACTCTTCAGTAGCAGAATCTATACTGTATTCATAACTTGCAAAACAGAATGTACAGTAAATATTCATCGTTTATTTATTAATACGATCAAAATCTTACATATTTTTTCCCATGTTCAGATTAGAGCATGCAGAATCTATAATAAACACTCGGAATCAACAACTGGCCTTCCCAACAGTTTTAAAAGTTAAAGACTTGTCATGTACACCCAAATCTTGTGGGACAAGAATGATTGTCATAGAATCTAATAATGTACAGTACAGCCCGTCTCCTCTGGACGTGGGTGATGGCATCTCGTCATTTTCTTTAAAAACTTTTGATACAGAATTATAGATTGTATAAACATATAAGTGTTAATACGAATATGACCGTTAAGATCAACAAATGTACTTGTACCCCCACGGCCGCATGTGTTTAATGCGTGTGTCAGCCACACCGAGATAAGGTGGGGTGAGCGAGTTCCTTGAGAAACACCAGTAACTCTGGTGCCCCGGTCACTTTTAAACCTGTGTGTGTAGTGCAGGCGGGTGTGCGCCCCACCTGGGGTACACATACATGACTGTCAGGGTTAATGAAGCCTTAGTTTTCACTTACCTTTTAAAGTTTCCAGTATTTAAGGGTTCAAGTGAGCACACCTAGTGAACATTATATAGTAGCACAAAGAATGTTTATCTGCATGTTATGCACAATACAACAGGAGGTACAGTAGTCAGGAAATGGATAAAGGAATAGAACTGTTCAAGCATACAGTACAGTACTCAAAAGGGAAAGATCATGAGGAGCCACAATAGACATATAAAAGTTAATTAATTAGGAAACAAACACATGTAATATATACAGTAAACCCCCAATATAACGGACTAATTTGGGGGAAGGTCAGTCCATTAAAGCCAAATTGACAGAGTGGCGGCTAGTAGAATAAACAAAGTCTCTCTAAACATTACTAACACGTACGGTACTGGTTGGTTGGAAGTGGTGGGTGGGGGAATTATGCATAATAATAACTGCTACACTGCCAGGCACAAGTGTACAGCTGACTTGTACATAATTGGATTTTTATAAATTTTTCTTGTAAAAATTAACTTGGGACACAATTATTCACTATAATATGAGAAAATCGTTGATATAAAGAGTGAGCATGTCAATTAAGTTGAATGCTACTGGGAAATTGTTTTTATACAAGTACAGGTAGAGCGCTGATTGGCTGCGAACATATATGAGTACTGCACATGACTCTCATTGGTGGAGAGACTAAACAAGCACGGCTGCTGTCAGCGATTCCTGTGTGTTCTGTCTTTTAACTTCTGCCTTGTACGAGTACAGTATAACGGATTTGCATATTTTGTTTTCTTTTTCTAGTAAAAAATAACTCCAGTAGAGGACCAAAGAGCTCTATAACGAATCAGTGGTATGCAGGGTAGCACTCAATGGAATAATACTGTGATTATTTGTGATAATTTTGATACAAATGGACCAGTCTGTAATTTCTTTACCACAATGAACCTCAGTCTGTTATTTTTTACTTTAACAGACCTGAGGCCATAATATATGAACCAAGTCCAAATGTGTCAATATTTATTAAAGCCGTGGTCCTTTGTATACGGTGTCCGTTATATTTAGGGTTTACTAAATGAAAAAAATCTGTGGACATCACTGCCCAACTGGAGAAACCACCAACTGAGCTGCTAAGTGAATGTATTCAAGCAAAACCTCATATTGGGGAAAGAAGTGTAATCCATTTATTTCTCCCTACATTAAGTACTGTACTTCAAAATGTTAGGTGCTCTTTAAGAAAGTATGGCAAGTACGGTACATTTGTAGGAACACGGCACAAATATAAAGAAATAGAAAGATAATAACAGAACGATTGGCTGCTTATAACATTAACATTACTTAGCATGATTTAAGACAGGAATGTAAAGGAGGATTTTTTTATGATTAAGTAGAGAGAGGTATGGAACTGGAGACAAATTTACCATTATAGGACATGATCAGTTGAGTGTAAAGTCGGGGACAAAAGTTCGCTCCCCGTGGTGAAACTTGAATCACGGGAATGAGTCTCCAAACTGACTTAATTACTGTTGTATCTCATTTGGGGTCAATACTGCTTCAGATTGGGAGAGAGCGAACTTTTGACCCTGACTGTACAGTAGGAAGGGCCAGGTAACTTACAATCTGGCCTCGGAGGAGTAAGGAGAGAGAAATTACAGTACGCTGAAAGGTGTGAGTAGGGGGAGGTGGGGGGACGGTGTCACTAACTATGAGGGAAGAATATACACAGAAAAAAAAATTTGACAGAAGTTGGTCCTTAAGTAAATTAAATGGAAAGAATCGGGTATGAGGTGGAGATTATAATAGTGAGGAAGGGGAAGCTTCAAGTGGGACTAACATCTCCTGTAATGCACACAGTGTTAGAGAGAGAAGTGACGCTTATAACAAGATAGTTCAATTTAGTACAGTATATGACATCTATAAAGCTGACTTCTCAACTGGCTGTTTCCATGCTGGTGCAGCTACTCTACCAATCTTCACTAAGGCCATGGACATCGGACAAGGGAGATGACGCTAACAATTTAAACAGAGTCTGTTATTGGCTACAGTACTTGTGTTAATTGAATATATAGTTTTTGTTCCTCTCATCACCAAACAGTATATTAAGAATGGTCTCAGTCTAAGTGTTACTGAACTGAGTTTGAGAGAACAGTCCGGTTCTTCATGTCAATTATCTTAATGAAAAGTAGTATCTCTGTTATTATTATTTTATGCGTTAATGAGACCAATCTTACGACACTTAAAAAAAATCTCTGCAGACTGAATTCACATATGACATGACAATAGACTTATGACAATACTGTATTACATTAGCTGTATTGTAACTACTATGGTGTTTTACAAATATTTTCTTCTCAATTGTGAGTTAACTCATGTGAAATTTTTAATTAAAACTGTCAACAAGTAGAATATAAAACAAAAGAAGGTACTGTACATCTAAATTAGGGAAAAATTCTTGAGAATAAAATTTTTACTGGATGCAGTAGTTGTAATTAGAGATGCCTACTTATTTTGACAAAAAAAAACAGAATAATACACTTAATTACACCTCTTGGATTAATTCTTAGCTGGTCATTTGCAGAGGCACTTTATACATACCGAAGGTTGAAGAGGTGAAGAAGATAAAAGTGGTGCATTCTCCCCAAGAAATAACTAAGGTGATAAAGAAGGACTCTGAGAAAGAGAACACAAAACCACTGGGGACTCACAGATCACCTCACAATGGTGTTTCCGTCCCACTTAAAGGGTCTTCTTCTAAGCCAGTTAATTCTTCAAACACCTCAGCCCAAACTCCTGAGGACTCGAGACAAGATGACAGTGATGAGGAGCCTCGTATGCCTTGGCGTACCAACCTTCGTAAGACAAATAGTAAACTAAGTTTACTAGACTAATACAGTAATATATATATATATATATATATATATATATATATATATATATATATATATATATATATATATATATATATATATATATATATATATATATATATATATATATATATATATATATATTAATGTTTATAAAGCCATATAAACCATTAGTCGTATAAAGCTTGGAATATGGAGTTATATACCACAATTCCAAAAATGGCATTTTCTTTCACATGGCACAGAATTATACGACTTTTGTACCATTTTTGGCTGATGCATTTATGTAGAAATTTACGTACTGTAGCTATTCTTAAAAATTACTTATTGTACTGTACTGTACTACTTCCTATATTCTATTTGTAACCAATCTGTCCTAACTCATTATAAAGCCATTATAAGCTAAGATTTTAATTTTGTAAAGACTAGTGTATCTATGTACATAGAGAAATATATATGTATTCATTGTAAATATTATGTATATGTACTGCATGACTGTAATAGCTATATATATGCAATATTGAAACAATACTAACATTACGGCTGATTCACAGTGCCATTTATATTGTAAATGGTCTTATCAAATTAACTGAGGACTTCAAGCAAATAATTGATACTGGCTAAAATTATACTTCTTCCACAGAAGTTTCTGTTTAGTAGTTTGATGATCTAAAATTTTGACAAGAGGGTTTAGCAACATGTAGTACCATGCAGCACTGCATGGAGCTTCAAATAAATACTTTATCACATATATTCTGGTTTCATTACTCACCTTACTGCTATCCTGGCCAAGCAGACTACCAGGAAACCAATCGTGATGGCTGGTGGGCTCAGCAATCTTATTCTCGGCTAATTCATGTGCTGTTGTAGCATTACACCATAGGTGTCATTGTCATATAGAAAACTTTGCACCTTTACATAAGTTATCCATTGAACAGTAATTGCAATTGATTTCCCAACGAATTAGCCTTCAGTCTGCTAGGCCAGGAATTCTTGGCCTAGTGTGTAAGAGTGTAGAGACTGGCTGCTTACACCTGGCAAAGATGTTCTTAGTTTTTGATGCTTACATTACCCCACAAAAAGAATAACTCTGCAACAATTAGGATAGACAGTGAAGTCCACAAATTAATAAATTGTGACAAAGATTTACCATGATGAGACACTACAGACACAAAATAAATGTCAAGATTAACTACAAACATAAGAAATAAAGAACAGTAGTTACATGTGTTTTACCCAGCATAGATTCCATTTCAAACCATATCTCTCGTCCTATTCTTTAAGTCACTACATTAATTTTATGATGTATAGAAGCTCCTTATGTCAGCCATTGATATTAACAATTACAACATGAGAAGTAGTGCCAAGGGGGCCCTGCCGGGGGCGACAGCACCCCCCAGGGCCCATGCCAGGGGCTGTGGCGTCCCCAGGGGCCCTACCCAGGTTGGTGGCGCCTAGTGGCAACAGCGTGCCCCAGGGTCTCTCCTTAGGGTAGTGGCGGTGGTGCCCCCAGGGGCTCTCTCAGGGGCGGCAGTGCTCCTAGGGGCCCGCCCAGAGGCGCCGGCGCCCCCAGGAGCATATACAACACCAGGGGTCTTGCCAGTAGCGTTGGCGCCCCCAAGAGCCCTTCCAGGGGCGGTGGAGCCCTCAGGGGCATTAATGCCCCCAGAGACCCTCCCAAGGACAACGGCGCCCCCAGGGGCTCTTGTTAGGGGCAGCGGCACCCCCCAGGGGCGGTGGTGCCCCCAAGGGCCCTCCCAGGGGCGGTGGCGCCTCCAGGGGCCCTCCCTATGGGGGGTCAGCGACCCCAGGAGCCCAGGCAGGGGCGGTTGGGCCCCTAGGGTCCCTGCCAGGAGCAATGGCACCCTCAAGGGCCCTGCCAGGGGCCCTCCTAGGGGCAGCGGCGCCCCCAGGTTTAATTTGAAACAACCACTTTTTTAACACACTTGCCAAAACTATGATAGTATTCAATATAAAACACAAGTGAAATTACAGTTTTTAAATTCGTATTCTATGAAAAAATCAGTGGCGGGTCAGTCGTCAAGAATTAGTAAGGTAAATGTTTACAACACGGCTATCACTAGAAGTTGCTTGATGATTTTCTTTATTTTTGCTATACTTATTGTTTTGATGGTTTTAAGTACTATAGTAAAAAAAAAACGACAACTTTCTATAATAATTTTAAGTATTTGGGGGGGGAATTTTTTTATTTACTCTATCCTACAATCTAAAATTCCTTGTTAGTGGGCAGGGCATGAAAGACGAGGGAAATTACGGGATAAAAACACGACGAACACTGATGTTTTGGCATTAAAATTACATCTCAAGGTGCATTTCAAATTCCCAAATTATTTGCTTATCGTAAGTCAGTCAGGCTTCACCTAATTCCCCTCCCGCCGCCATTGTAGGGTTTCCTACAATAAAAGTGCGATTTGGTTTATTTTTTTGGTACACACGATAATGCAGGGTCATAGCCAGCCTTGATGGCACCCAGGGCAATGGCTGAATTTGGCGCCCCCCTCCTTTTACGGCTCCCCACCACCACTAACCCTCCACTCCCTACAACCCCACTTCCACCGCAAATAATTATATCAACTAAATTTTAATTCATGTACATAATGTAGCATAATAGTAAATAAGGGATTGCTAAGACAACCAACAAACAACCCAGAGGAGTGAGTGAGTGATGATAGCACTGAAGGAAATGTCTAGCGAGAATCCTAGGATAACTGAAAATCACACAACAATAACACATACAATGAAAATCACATAAAAGAAAAGCCACTAAAATTAACTTTCTACAATAACCAGAGGCACAGCCCAGCTTGTCTTGTGGACTGTACAAAATTAGGCAGTGTCTTTATTATTATTAAAAACATTGTACATTATCCTACTGAATCCAGTAAGAAAGGTCAGTAGGCAAGCAAGCGAGAGAGAATCCTATGAAAAATAAGGTAAATTTACGGTGATATGATTAAATTTGGCAGAACGCACTGTCCAGCTCCAACACGTGACGAAAGAGTAATGAGTAGGATAATGACGGCGACGCCTCTCGGCAGCTAACAGACACAAGGAGCGCCAAACGGGTTGCCAGTCACCACTAAAACAATGTTATATAAACACTTTTCAAGTGTCAATAATATATATATTTAATACCCGGTATTTATAAATTGGAGATTATAAATTAACCTATCCAGTGTAGAAGTAATACAGGCTTTTCTGCTAGAGTAATCTTTTTGTTTTGTTATCTTCCTTTGATTTTTTTTTTAATTCATAGGCAATTTGGCGACCCTCTTACCTTGGCGCCCAGGACGGCTGCCCCTTCTGCCACCCACTAAGTACGCCCCTGCGATAATGCATGGAACCTACTAGAACCTGACCTAATAGGTTAGGTTTGTTAGGTCAGGTTCTACTAGGTTCTAGTAGGTTCTAAGCATTGTCGTTTTCATTCCTGTGTTTAATATCATGCTAATAGTGTGTACAAAAAGAATCGCACATTTCCTTCCAGTAACCTTACCAGTAAGGTTTAGGGTAAATCATTTATAGGAAACGCCTCTTGAAGAGGGATTCAGCGAGGTATACTACAAAAATACCGCTGGGAGGAGAATTGTGAAGCGGGATAGGGTAAATAAAAAATAAAATAAAAATACTTAAAATCCTAATAGAAAGTTGTCGTTTCTGTTTATATACCTAAAATCATCAGAACAATAAGGACAGCAAAAATAAAGAAAATCAACAAACAACTTCTGGTGGTCACCCTCTTCTACACCTTTACCAAAAGACATTACTAGTAGCACCTAACCTAACCAACCAAAGAAACCTACCTAACCTTACCTAACTTCCTAGCCAGGGGGCGGACCCCAGTGATATTTAACAGAAAGTACTTAACCAATCAGAGCCCACTCACGGTAAAATAACGTTAGTAGGAACTTTGCCGGGTGCTGGACAACTCGTACCCATCAGAACATGTCAACTCGTACCCAGCTCGTGTGTGTGTGTATATATATCATGTAGATCCACAATAGAAACGTGGACAAGGTTGATTTTAAGGATCGTAGTTATTATTTTACTTAACAATCTTACGACCCATTCCCATGTGTAACAATAAATGGTCCTGCCACTTACAGAAACCCAACTTAAGGAAACCTGTATATCTGCCCAAGCTGTAAAAAATAAAATAAATAAATAAATCCACCAATTTGGCCACTATAACAGAGTAACACGTGAATAATTGAATATAAATGTGTACAGAATTATTAAAGATTGTTCCTTACCTTTGACTGGACCCTAATGAAGGGGTCAGGAGCCACACCCCCTTCCTTATATTACTAATAAGTTGATTTAGCTTCGTAGTGAGAAGAAGTCACCAAAATCCAATTTTCTCATCAAATAGACTATAATAAGGAGATATAATTGTGGAATGGTGTTTCCTGGTGGTATAAATTAGACATTTTAATTAACTTTATCCTCGCCCGGGACTCTTGAACCTTACAGTCCCAATATACACATATAACATTATTGTATTTACTTAACAAAAAAAGATAATTTTGAAATAATATGATTAAGTAACATGATGTTGTTTATATTATATTTATTATTAGAATTTTAAGTTTTGTTAGTTGTTCATTTGTCTGCCTCACCACAGCTGAGGTTTGTTTACCACAGCAGCCAGAGGTGAGGACTGTACTGTGTCTTCTGTTGGAGGTTTACAAGAAGAAAACTATATTAAACCAAGACTAATAGAGGTAAGATTGAACTAAACGTAGAACATTATCGGTGAGGTCATATTCAAGACTAGTAAAAAGAGAACTGTGGTTACTTCCTCCTAATATTCGGCGTTAGTTGACATTTATTACTATTATCCTCTTTGCCACTTGGCGTCTTATGTTAGGTAGTTAGTGAGCCCTTTATTAGACACTGTTGGTAAGTGCTCGTGAATGTACCAGAATATGAGCCAATGTTTGTCTAATCTGATCTTTAAGGAACTGACACTTGGTGCTGTCATCACTGGCAGGAGTTAAGGATAATACTTGCCATGAGTGTCACTTGTAAACTAACCTCGGTCAACTTTCACTAATGCATCAGTCTTTGTTGGGATATTACAAATATGTTTTTCCGATGTTAATTGATGAGTTTCGAACGAATTTGATATTCATTTCAGCCGGAAATCAATTATATTTTTTTAGACCCCCCTTTACCCTACCCATCAATCTTAACAAAAAAAAATATATTTTTTTTGGTAAATCACAAATAAAAAAAGAAATAAATAAATAACAAAACCAAACCTAACCTAACACTATTTTTCTAATGAAACTCTGCAATTGACTTAAAATAATCTCTATCACAGTGTTGGCACAGCTCCTTCCACCTGCTCAGCCATATCGGGTCCAACTAATTACCCTAATGTAGCCGCAATGAAGTCAAATGATGGTCCTACAAGAATAAATCGGACTGCCAATCACTTCTCGACTGATGTATGGTGTCACGAAGTCACTAAAAATTGGTAAACTTAATTTAATCTGAGTTAATAGATCGAATGCATGTACTTAACCAAACCTAACCTAACCTCGACTAGTATTTGGTGTCACGAAGTCACAAAAAATTGGTAAACTTAATTTAATCTGAGTTAATAGATCGAGTGCATGTACCTAACCTAACCTAACCTAACAACACAACTCAGATTAAATTAAGTTTACCAATTTTTTTGTGACTTTATGACACCAAATAATAATCGAGAAGTCATTCACAGCCCGATTTACACTTGTAGGACCATCATTTGACTTCATTGCGGCTACATTTGGGTAATTACTCTCTCCCTCGGTACATGCACGCAATCTATTAACTCAGATTAAATTAAGTTTTCCAATTTTTTGTGACTTTGTGACACCAAATACTAGTCGAGAAGTGATTGGCAGTCCGATTTATTCATGTAGGACCATCATTTGACTTCATTGCGGCTACATTAGGGTAATTAGTCGGACCGGCCATATCTGGTTATTCTGGTACTGTAAAATCAAATCTCCGCTCCCGACGCACCCACACATTGTTCATTAGCTAAGACAAAAAACTCTTGCCCAATTATAAGTCTCCTATTGTTATAGCCAAATAAGAAACTCCTACACCACCCCCGCACATGCACTTTAGGCGCTTAAGAAGCCAACACGGAGGTAAGGAGCACTGCGTGATGGGCGGTCAGACCTTCTCTGTGAGATGAAACAACAAATGGCGACACTTGTGACTGACCAAATCTAATAATATGGAAAAATTAATATCTCGGTTATCCTTAATTTCCGGCGGAAATATCACAGAAGAAAAAGGTCTTAGAATTGTTTAAACATTACAAAATGTATATTAATAACAGCGAGAGAAATACCGGTGCAAGATCGAAAATTCACCCTACCCTGTTGACTACTTATGTATTGACGAACAACTTCTCTTACATTCATACCACAAGTCAGATATCTTACAGGAATTTCGGTTGTCATATTTTTTTTCTTGGACTTTTCTCTCAGTAAATAATAAATGTGTCCATCACCTTTTCTTTGTTTGATTACAGACAAATACTTCCCAGCAACTAAACGTTCACCAAACATTTACAACAACTGCTACACTATGTTAGTTATCCAACAACTTAATATAAACCAACCTAATAGTGCTTTATTGGGTTATGTAGGTTATGTTATTTCATGTACAGTAATGTCATATAAATCATCGTCAAACATTTGCTCGGGTTAAACTCATTTGTGTTGATATGAAGGACCTAGTTGGGCTCATTACTCTTACACCACCAGTCTCTTCGCCTTGACTATAAAATAGAATTAAATATACCTGTTAATTTTTTTAATTACAGGTGTAGATAAAATAAGGGCTCACCACACAAGATGGGGAGCAAGTTGAAGCCTGGTGGGGTCCGTCGACACCTGAAAGAAAAAGTCGTGCAAATGTATGAGGACTTATTTCATGGAACAGACCCTTGCATCAACAACCCTAGATTTTGGGAGGATCTTTTTTTACTTAAGGTAAGGTACATTATTCTGGGGGGACAGTTTTAACTAAAATATTGTCAATAATTAACTTCATGTCAGGAAATGTGAAGTGTTTTTCTCCTTCTGATATTATACCTTTATTCAACCTGTGACTTGAGTACTGTATGCCTAGTGATGTATACAGTTTCTCAAAAAAACTAACTTTTAAAAATTGTGTTGAGAAAATATGATGCAACAGACAAAAGATTTTGATAACCCTACCAAGACAACAGGAGTCACAGTGTTCATTCTGAAATTCATCGACCACCCTCCCAAGCAGAGGTAGTTTTTTGAGTGACTGTACATACAGTATTCAAATGCTATTTCACATGTTTCCAAACTGTTTATCTAGAAGGAACCTAATCTCCAATTTAAAGTGATTCTCTTTAATCTTCAGTGGCCCCCAAGGGTTTTCACAAAGCTTTCAGTTGTGATGGTTGAATCCTTAGTGAGAAAATGATTTCTGTAAAGTATATCCTGTACTCAGAAAATTGACTGGTTTAGGTAACTCCAGGAAGTTTGTCGGGTGTGATCCTGCCGAGTGATTTAACTTTTAGTACAGTACGGGATGCTTCAGTAACAATGGTAATGGCTTTAATTGATTATTTTGTTAACACTGGCCAGTGATGAAGTTTCAAGAGTGTCTACTATGACTATGTTAACAACTTAAGTGTTGGGTTAGGTTGCGAGTTGGTTACGGGTGATTGATAATCAATTATATTTTATTTTATTGATTTTAGATTCCAGTCACAATTAGAGTTGTTTGATCCTGATTTATTTATAAATGAATTTCATCGTTAATCCTCTATTTTTTAAATGTATATTTATTCAGGTGATTTATTCAACAGCCAAAAATGTCAGCATTAGAGGGTGAAATCAGCAGGTGCACATCAGACCAGCTGCTGGGACTGAAGGAAAACATCAACACACTCTTTGCCAAATGTGTCCAGGTTCTGGCCCATGAGCACCACATCCGTGTAGTTAATGCTCTTCTGGTGAGTTGATAAGATTTCTTTACAGAGAAATAGTATTCGCATTACAGTAAAACATTAATGATCTCCATGGATGAGTGGCTAAGTCGGCTAGTAACTGGTGAAAAATGGGTAGGGTTGGGCCTCAGCAAGAGGCGGAGTCAATGCTTTTGCTTTGTGTGTATAGATTGGTCAGATTAAGCTAATATGATGCCTCCCACCTTTAGAAGCAATTATTTTACTTGCTTTAACAATTTTATGATGATGGGTGTGACAGTGAGGTTGGCAGTGACTGGTATAACCATTGAGTTACTGTAGTTAATAAATCATAATTTATCTACCTTGATGGTCTGATTGGGGGGTTATCAGAAGACAATAAGTCCCCAGTTAACAGCCTCTATAGTACAGTATCGGCTGTGATTGTTGAAATATTTTCCATTTTGACTTCCTTAGCTTTTAATTTTATATATATATATATATATATATATATATATATATATATATATATATATATATATATATATATATATATATATATATATATATATATACTCGTATAATTATTTCCTTATTGTGGTACTGTACTGTCATGTATAATGCATATTGTTTCTCTTCTTTCTTATAAAGTGTTTGTTTGGTACAGATAATGTGTCTTTTGCTTAGCTAGTGCATTTGTTTAAATTTTATTACCTTACATACTGTATATTTTTTTTTTCTCTCTAAAGTTATTTATTCCCAATCTTAGGAGTGTCTTTTCTCCACAGACTTTGTGCAGTCTGGTCAGAGGTTTATATAGAAAGATGCAAGGTGATTATGGCTTTGATTTTATCAACATCCTCATTGGTTTTGATGCTGCCGAGGAACAAATGCAGCTGCTGCTAAACCACTGTTCAAATTTCCTCACAGGTTAGAACACCAACACAGTGTAATGACTGTTTATTCCTACAGTTTGAGAATATTCTTAAGAATTTTTTATATATTTGCCTTTTCTTATTATTATGCAGGCTTATGCCTATAAATGCAGTCAGGTGTCCAGTGTTCACTAACCTTATGAGATGTTATTAATGGGAGTAGAAGCAGATTGTAAATTTGTGTTTGTGCATTTACATGCAAATGTAATTGCAACATTTTCATATACAGTACATGTGTATAATATGTACTTCCCATGCCTTTACTGCCATAGTATCTTCTTTTTTATTTAACAAATACGAAATATGTTTCTTCACAGGAGAATACTGTGACAGCCTCAAATCACTAAGTCTTAAGTTCCTGCTTGTACTGGCAACTGGAACCGACAACATTAGTCAAAACACCGTGCTTGAATACCTCACCATTAACTGTAACTTTGATGCTGTCATACAGGTAAGTCATTGTGATATTTTTAGTCCTAGTTGCTTTACCTTTATCTAGCTTAGTTTCTTTAGGACAGGCCATATTCTGCAATCAATTGAGAAATTTACAGTACAGGTGTACTTAGTATGATGCTGTTTTCCTAAGAGAGGAGCCTTTGGCTTCCAGTGAGTAGAATGAAACCTTTGGAAGCATTTTCATGCTTATTAAGATGGTGAGTAGTGTGGGTTTCACCATTAGGAACTTGTTAACATAACTGAGTCGTGCAGCCCATACGTATTATATGGTATTGAATTTCAGGATCAATCAAACATTGTTTTTACAGCTCCTACAGGAAAAGAAATAGCATTACCTTTTTTTTCAGCTTCTGAGTCATTCCAGTACACGCAACCAGCATGGTCCAGAGGCTGTGCTGTACCTCATGCTGATGGTCAACTACCGTAAACACGAAATGACCAACCCCTACACTGTAAACCTCTCTCTACTGGATGATGAACTAATACTGAATGGATATGGACAAGTGAGATGCTAATTTTTACTATGGATAAAGGATTGTTTTAGTTTTCATAATCTTGGGAATTGTTATACAATATCACATTATATATTTATTATCTTTCCCCTCAATGGATACTACTGTACATGTAAATTAATTTAAAGTTGTCAGCATAATCCTTATGCACATTTTAGTACTGTTGTTATATACCATAAGAAATTGATACAGAACAAACTGTACTCATATACAGTACTGTATTTACCCCTCTATGATTAACCTCTTATTCTTTTCTCTTTAGAATCACTTATAGTCATTGTTTTCTTTTTCTAATTTTCTATGCACACACAAAAACATTTTTAAAAGTATGAGAAAAATAGTAAAAAACTTAAGTGTTACTGTGACGATTGTTTTGTTGGAAATTTTGCAATTAAGGCTTTTTCTTATACCACAAGAATGAAGACCGTGTTAAGTACTTTATAAATATACAGTACTGTAGAGTATTTTAAACAGACATAACATGGAGAAACATATTGTTTTACTTTGAAGTGATAAACTAAATGACAGATTCATTATTGTCACTTTTTAAATGACCTTATTTCAACGCAGGTCATCACAGCTTCATTAGCAGACTTCAATCACAAATACTCAGCACACTTCATGGAGCCCCAGGGTTCAGGATGGTTTGCATCACTCACCTCCATGGTTGGCTCTATGTTCTTGTCAGAGGAGATGGCAACCCGCAATGAACACATAAAGTATGTTACTATTTGATTGTTAATATCATATAGCATAAGGTAGTCCTAGTGGTCACATCCCTACCACTATATAAAAGACGTCACTTCCTTGGTAAAAATGATAAAAAAAAGAGGTGGTTGGGTTATGGTAGCTGATGTAGGTATTAGTGGGCCTTTTTAGACTTTTTACTGACTTATATCCTCTTCGCATAGGGTATAAATGTGGTATCAATCTTGGTTTATATCTTAAATAAGATAGAACTACCTGTCTCCACACCTCTCTTTCAGGTGTTTCACTGAGGTCAGCAGGATGTGAGTATATAGCTGTACAATTTCACATTTGGCCAAACCAGAGATGAACAGATTGTACATGTACTGTATGACATCTGACTCATTAACTCAGAATTGCACTTTCTATTTTTACCAATATTTTATAAAGGTAGAATTGTTTACAGGAGAGAATTAAAGAATTGGATTATTGCCCAAGGCACCACAGATCAAAGCTTAGTTGGGTTTAAATTCTCCAACCATCAACAGTTATAAATATTCACGAGTTCTGTCAAGTTCGGTCAAAGGTTTAAAAAGATATGAACAGATTTCATGAATTTTGAAGTTTTACCGTAGCTGTAAATTTGCGAGTTGCATGTGATGTAAATTGGATGTTGCAGACTCACACACTTAATCCATTTGAGGTGATCCGTGTTTTATTACTCTAAAGTTTTACTGATTGATTTCACTTTACTGTACTGTACAAGTTCCTTTAAATGTAATGCTTGTTTGGTCACTTGGGTGCTTACATGTCAAATACTGATAATATTTTGTACTTAGATTGTGGTACTTTTCCCTTTGCAGGGCAAATGATTCCTTCTTACTGGCATTGTATGAGGCTGTTCATCTGAATCGCAATTTCATTACCGCACTGACCACTGCCACAGACCCATCCACCCCGCCTTCTCCAGCCAACACCCTTGATCGGGGCATTACACCGCCAACTCCAGATTCTACCGATGCACCAAATCCAGCACCTACTGTTGAGATGGAGGCATCTGTACAGCCAACCAATCTACTGGTTACTTTCCTAGAGTACTGGTAAGCTAACTTCACAATTGTAAAAGAAATGCTCATGATTTATGCAATTCTCCAAATCCAAGGGAGATGGAAAGATGATTTATATTAGGTGACATCATACAGCTGCAACACAGTGCTGCCAAACATAAAAATAGTACTGTATTATACAGTACCTCAGTTGACAGCTAGCCATTGATGTTGGGTGTAGTGCTTCTATTCACCCACTAATTATGGTTATACATAATACTGTAATGAAAAACTTGCATAAAAATATAAATAACTTCATTATGCATGTATTAAATTATTTCAAAACTAATTAACATTGATTATACTCAAATCTTTAAATTCTGAACCCATTTTCATGATAAATGCCTTTTCTCTGGAAACTGAAAACTAACATGTTTAAAGTCTAAAGATAGTCTATATTGCTGAGAAAATATATATAAAGTGATTTAAAACTTACAGGCACATCGTAATTCATGTTTTAAATATTCTATACTGTACAGTACTGTATGTATTAAATTACTCGTATAACAAAGCTCAAGGAAATGTGGTGATGTAAGACTGAATTTACCTCCAGTATAATGAACTTTTGGGAGAAGAAGGTTACTGTACTGTACTGTGTACTTGTGTACTTGTATATAACCGAATTCACATTCCAGAACTGTATGCTGATCTTGTGATATATATACAATAAGAAGCAACATTTATTCTGTTACATAAAGTGCTGAATACCATCTGGGTGCAAGGAAGGTAAACTAGTAGCTACCTCACCTCGCCAACTTAATTGGCTAAACTACATCATTGTTAAACACTTAATATCTTAATATACTGAATAAAAACAATTTATATATTGTGACAAAACCTGGAACTTCATCTAACCAACCTTACTAACTGAACTAAATCATTGTTTGTAAACTCTAATACTGTATACAAAAACAGTTGATAAAGATGCAACTACAGTAAATCATGTATATTGAGTTTTTCAGTGGCGTCATGTACTGGATCATAATTTGGAACTTGCTTGTTTTTTTTGGCAAGGGTCGAGCCTTATTATTCTGAATTATTAAAGTTTTACTTGGTAGTTAATTTGACATCCAGTGACTATGACTTCTATTACCTTGATGTGTGTATATTCTTTCTCCAGTTCCATAGTGATGCAAGACACAAAAACAGAAGAAAGTCTCAACAATGTCAAACTGTGTTTTGTGATCATCACCTGTATAGCTGAGGATCAGTACTGCAACCTATTGCTTCATGATGCCAACCTTGTCTTCACAGTACCATTACACAGACTTCCCATGAGACATCGCAAGGTGATCCCAGAAAAAACAGCCCATGCTCGTCCTCTAGCATGTGCAGTATTAGGTAAGGCACACCTTATTTTTTTTGTGTTAGATGTACAGTACATGATCTGCCTGGCCTGACTTGTATGGTACAGTAATTCAGTATATTATTTACCCCTTGCATCAAAGTAAATTACTTTAATGAGATTTCACTGTACAATGGATTAGTGTAACTTCTCATAATATCCACAACTCTGTGCCCCTCTGACAGTGTAGTCCAAATATTGATGAAATAATTTTTTGAAGACATTTTGACCAATGTAATGCTAACTTATGGTGTATTTTAAAAATGACAATTTACAGTCAGATAGGTTTTCCATATGCTCTATCAGGTACAATTAAGGTAGGTGTCTGCCACATACAGCTCACGTGTGTAGGGTTATACAGTACATTACTACTTTGGCAAAGACTTTGTTATACTGGAATTTCCATTGTTCCAAACCTTCTGATGCATCATTAGTGCAGTAAATTGATATACATCACTATAAACTATTGTTGACCATTGAATCAGAATGGTCTTATTTTGAATCACACACCCTTAGAAGATTTTTGAGGATTCATGTCCTCCTTAGCCTTCCTGAGATGCTTGTCTGTTGCATTAACTTTACACAAGGAGCTGATCATTTGCAAGTATCATTATCTTCTTATGACCATTGTATAAAGAGATTGAACAAGCCGACTGTATTACTACCTCATGCCCATGGCTCCTCAAGGTTGGCCCAATCATTGCTTAGCAATCAAGTTGGGATCCTGGCCCAGTTTCAACAAGTTATAAAACAATGCATTATAGTCGGCCCAGTAAAAGTAAACCTTCACCTTTGATCATGCGATGGAATTTCAGAATTCCACATTTTTAATGAACATCACTCCTAAAGATATGAATTTCAAAGCCTCTTCCTGCATTTCATTTATTGTCAAGTAGGATATGGAGTAATTATTAAGTATACATACTTGGTAATTACAATCTTTCCATAGATGTCATGGTTGAGTTCATGATGTCACACATGATGAAAAAGCTTCCAATTGAACTGTTCCATCAAAATGTGAACATCATTCACCGCCTGTTATGCTATCAGAAGCGCAACTCAGTGCGACTACCATACAACTGGAAGGATCTCTGGGCAGCTCTAATTGCTCTTGCCAAGTTTCTTGTTACCAATGAGGCTTACTTGGCCAAGAAGATGAATATATTCCAGTTGGCTCATCAGGTGAGTTCTTATCTCTGAAGCTCTTCTTAAATTATGCTTTCCACTGCTGATTCAGCCTTTTTAGACTATATTTTTTATTATAGAAAAAATAGTTAGTTTGGTGTCTGTATTTATTGTGCTGGGTGTCCCAAAATTTTATTTGCCAAGATGTGTTTCCTGGGTAAACTAACTTTTGAAATGCAGTAATACAGTATATGTATTTGCATCAGATAATCAAAACCAAGTTCTTGCTTCAAAGAAAAGCATGTACTGTACTGCATTGAAGTTCTCTGGGGGATTCCTTATTTGAGGCAGAAGTGACAGTGAGAGGGGTGGTTTACCTCCTTTATTCCTTTGGAAACTTACCGGGTAAGTCCTTTTATTTAACCACTTGTGTATGGGGTCTCCTCCTTTCTGAATAAAATTGTCCGGTGTTAGCCAAATAAAATATTAAAAAGTAGCATCCCCATAGTGTAGGGGTTAAGAGTTACTGTTTTAGTATATGAGAGAGAGAACAGTTCTCTGCCCTACAGAAGGAAGCATTACACCACATTGGCCATTTCATTTTCTGGCTTTGGCTCAAAGTCTGGGGGGAATTAGTCTCCTGTTAGTATCTACAGTTCTGCAAATTGTAGAATTCATATTTGAGACTTGCCTTTATTACTAACTATAATCCAATTATATCACTTGGGAATAGAAGTTTACTTGGAAGCAATTCTAATAATATACTACCTGTAGAATGGTCAAACCAGAATCTGTCTTTGTATCCTTGATGATAGGTCACTTGATATGAATTTAAAGCAGTCTTGCTGCTATTATTATACAGTAAGGGAGCACTGACCAGTCTCTAGACTTGTTGACTTTACTTGAGTTGTCTGATCCATTCTTAGTTTACAAAAATATATTTTATGATTAGTTCTGTATTGTACCTCATTTTATCCCCTTTTCAGGTAATGAATATCTTCAACTTGTTTATAACATACGGAGATACATTCCTGTCAACGCCCTCGAGTTATGATGAACTCTACTACGAAATCATGCGAATGCATCAGGTAGTATAAGAATTATCAATTGTATTTCAGTATGTCTCAGTAGATTTATTTTAAACGTGTGATAAGAATCTTCACAGTGTGTATAACTTCTGCTATATTGGTATTATATATGCACATCCTTGTCAATAATTTTTAATGGAAAAGGGAATACCATTAAATCTACAGGTATTTGAAAACATGTATTCCATGAGTCTACGCTACTCTCGGACTGATGGAGACTACAAAGAAAGTGCACAGAAACTGACAAACTGCCTTGGCAATGTCAGGTGAGTTATGCTCCATTAAAATGAATGCATTTTACAATAAGTTTGCTTTTTAAAGGTGTTGGTTTAGTAAGTAATTTTGCTCTTTTCTTTTTGTATATGCATTAATATCAACTTAAGTTTTGCATGCACTGTACTTGTTTACACATGCTTTCATTTTCACTGGATACATCTCTAGATTTTTCTCCCTTACAGATCCATCATCAACCATTTTACTCCCAAGTTAGACAAGTGGAGTCAAGAACATGGTATTTCAACTCTCACTGAGGAACAGGTCAGGCAAGCTGCTGTTGCTTAGTACAACTTGTGCAGTATTAATAAATTTCAAATGAAACACTACCTCATACAACCTTCATTCATAACCCTTGTCATTCAGTTTTTCTTTTTTACCAAATATTTAACTCGCTCAAACTGTACATATTGATAATTCATAGATATTTACATGAAATAGCTCTTGTGTGATATTGGATTCCATAAAACTACCTCTGTAGCTACTGAGTATTCTGTTTGCATAGTTGATAACAAATACCCACCTTACCATTCAGTGTGATATACTTTTGAGTGAGAAATGCAATCTAATTTGATTTGACCAAAAAGTGCTACTCTTCATTTGCCGTGACATGAGCCAACAAACTATTAGTATAAAATTGTAGTTCTGTACAAATGTTAAGGTAATTTGTTGCAGGTGTTGGAGGTTGTGCGGAACAACTACGACAGCTTAACACTCAAACTGCACGACAGCCTTGACCAGTATGAAAAGTATGCTGAAAAGCCTCAACATGCAAACTTTTTTGCTAATATGGTTAGTACAGGTCTTTTCTGCAGCTTTATTTTACATGTTAGATACAAATAGCTATGTCAGTTATAAGTCCACACATCCAGAGGCCTGCATATCCAAAATTCCTGCTTGGTACTATCTCTTGTGCTTTAATTGTAACTTAATACAGTAATTGGATTTCCCATGATTGCTAGGTGCTTACAGGGAAAGCTGTGGCCCCACTGACTTTTTTGTCTCATTTCAGGTACGGAGTATTCTCAGTGACACCAGACAGAGTATAGATTTTAGCGCATTTGAAAACTTATCAATACTGCAAGAGTTGAGTAATTCAACGTGAAGTTCAGTATAGATCAGTGTTTGATAGCAACAACAACAGATGACAGAACTTCAGCTTGGTTGGCAAAAACTGTTTTGCTTCCAGCTGTCAGGTATTTTTTTTAAACAAGTTGAAAGAATAAAAAAAAGTGGATTTTTAAGTTGCTCAAATGTTTCATGAATGGGATTGAAATATGATGAAGTAACCTATTTAAACTGTATAATACTGTATTTCTTCTAATATGTAAATATCTTTTTAGTCTGTCAGATGATATAAATGGCCCCTATATGTATTCTTACTTTCAGGTGACTAAGCATAAGATTGAGTGTTTTCATATAAAAATTATTTTGTAACCAAGATAATACTATAATGAAGATGCCTAGACATATTGTTAGTAGCCACAACCAGATGTTTAACATTATTGACATACAGTAATTATAAAATCCTTCTGTAATATTCAAAATAGGTATTTAGGTGTATTAGTGATCATGAACAAAGCTGTGTTATCTTTATCAGCAATTATTGCCCTCTGCTTGTGGAATTTTAATTTATTCATAAATATTTGTTAATAATAGAATTTGATTATTCCTTATCATAGAACTGTGTAATTTATGGCTGTGAGATGTTCTATAACACATTTTATTTATTTACTTGCTGCTTTAAATTCCAGATACAGTCAACCCTCGCTTTACGCGGTCCCACTTTACGCGGTACCCTGCCGAAACCGGAATGCTCACTTTCCGCGGTGTGTGTACCCTTTTACGCGGAGAGTGGCGCCAGCAGGGTGCGCACAAGGTCGCCCAGTCATCAAAACATTACCGAGTTCTTCACCCGCCACCCACCACAGCCGGCCCAAGTCAGTGATAGTGATAATGATAGTGAGGATATGGACTTATATGGACTTTGAGGGGTTTGACAAAGAGGCCCTGCAAGCCTCTGTGGTGGATAGTGATACATTTGATACAAGTGATACAGGTGAGGGCCAATAATCTGCCCTCTGCCTCGGAACCAACTGCCCATCCCCGTGTGCCCAGCCATCTTTTCTACTAATGTAAGTGTTAAAAAACCTAATATTATTGATATTTCTCTTAATTATTAATTGTGTGTGCATACCATCATAAAATTAAGAAATTATTTTTACTACAACGTAGGTATTGTGTCTGAAAAAGTGGAGTTTGGGGGGTCGGCCCGGTCTCTATTTCAATTAATCCCATATGTTATGTTGTTCACTTTACGCGGGCCGCCGTGGGTTGAATTAACCGCGTAAAGTGAGAGTTCACTGTATAATATATCCAGTTATTACAGTTATCCCTCATCAACAGCTGTTTTAAGTATCCATTTTTTTTTATATTTTACACCAGTTCCAAGATCTGCGGGTTTCCACAGCCACTGCAGGAGATTTCTTGCTCAACACAGTGGGTATGTACGTAATACCAAGTTTGTCAAGTAGTTCATTAACATATATATGTTCCCCAAGTGACCGTTTATCATCATCTACCACGCCCAGGTCCTCTTCCTTCTCTAACCTCTTTAAATCAATTTGCTTATTTTAATCCTTTATATTAGATGCCACAGTATATGGTTGCTTTCTGCAGTAGTCATCAATTAACATGCAAGTATGAAAAATGGCCACAATATGGTGGTGGTGATAGAGGTCTGGGTGTAGCTCTCTAACTCAGAAATGATTACCTGTATTGATAAACTATGTTCTAAATAAGACAAACCCCTTTTTATTTTTATCAAAACAGAGGAAAGTAATTCATCTTTATCACTCACCTTTCACTCCCACAAACCAAATTAGACTATTGTTTAGTACTTTCTAAATTTTCACAGAACCATTTATTGCTGGTCACTGTCATTAGCCAGTCACACGTTTAATAAACCATCAAGGCACTTCCACCATACCATTGTTACCAGGCACAGTTGCCCACAGGTACAAGTGTCCCACCCTTCGGTGGACTTTCCGAATATGTGGCCAACAGTATATTTTTTCGGTAGTATTTGTACTTGAGATTTGTGCTAAGCAATATGATAGATGTAATATCTGTAAAGAAGGTTCGTTGCCACATGTCCTGACCAAGGGATGGAGCGCTACACCCATGGGCAACTGTACCTATCGATGGAGTTAATTTTGGTTGGTGGTCCCAATAAACATCAGACTGCCTGACTAATTGGTCCATGTGGGCATGGATGGCAGGCAGGATTGACACTGGTTTTATTACAATAAAATACACATGAATAAAAGTACTGTATGAGAATTAATCAATCTTAAAAAATAAATAAAATCCCCAAATGGGAGAAATAAACACGGAAGCATGCAACATCCACGAGTGCACACACACTGGGATAAACTGAGAAATACAGTTACCAGACATACGAAGCTGATACAATCCTACTCTAAGAGGCCCTAATGCATAGGATCTCAGGTGAAAAAGCAAGAATTTGGGGAAATAATAATATTCATAAATACAACATATTTACATACGAAGACCTTTAGAGCATAAAAACTTCATATGTATATTTGCCTTATAGGGGGGGTGTTAAGGTCAGGTGTGTAGGGTCAGGTAGTGGGTTGAGGTTGGGGGGGGGTGTAAATTGATGCAGTACACTGTACTGTACTGTATTTTTATAAAATATATGCCCTGTACTTAATTTTAAATTTTGAGCTGTACTTTCCAGGACTTTCAGTATGTCTCAGGGGGTCACTTCCCCCAAACCCATATTTCCCAGACTCAGCTCTTGCCATTCAGTGTTGCCAACCACAGGAGAAATCTAAATGTAACCCCCATGGTTGGCAAAGGTATACTGTACTGTAATATATATGCTACATTTCTTTAATAATTTTAAAACAGTATGTGCCAGCATAATTAAGGTGTTCTGTAACTATAACAACCCATAATTTAAACCTAATATTATCTGTACAAGATTACAGGCTTGGTAATTCCAGCAACTGTTTATATGTCATCTTAGAATTTTGTTTTACCTATTTATAAACATGTTAGCAGCTGTACCATCGCAAGTAACATGGACAGATGAAGTACTGTCAAAGGTTAAAATGAAAAACAGTAATTTATCAAAAGTAAAGAGAAGCAATGCAGTATTTCCTGTTCCTTGCATTAATTCTCCATTTACAAACCATGAAAATGCAATATTTATTTTTTACCTCAACCTTAAAGCAAGTGATGAAAATTAAGCAAAAATTATATTTGAAAAGAATGATTAGGTGTTTTTGTATGTATTGTAACTTGTCAAATTAAATAATGTACATACAGAGTGCTGTACACTTACCTTACTCCCATCTGGACAACTGAAATCATACTTGACATCTTGGTCATTTTCTAAGTATAAAATAATTTATAATATACTACTGTAAGTGAGTACATGACCTCCGGGTTTGGTTCCTGTCGTGTGACGGATGTTTATGAGGCTTCAGTTCCCACGATATGACAGATTATTATTTCGAGTTACGGTTTGAATTGCCATGTGGGTCTGGCTGGGCATTTATCTTTCACTTGCCCACACCTGTGAATCTACCAGTCTTCTTTCTCAGTAATGTTTCAGTTTTTGTGACTTCACATGCTTCACCACACATTTCTACCCCCCCCAACCTCAAGCACAAGTATAGTAATGGTCTTTCCAGACTCAAATTTTAAAAACTCTGGTTGTAAACACAATGACCCTCGTCAACAGAAGGTGATTAAAACTCTGGGGGTAAGGCCTCTTTCATCCAAGTGTTTTTTGTTTGTTTTTCGTGCAACACAAAAAACACTCCTATGAAAGAGACCTTAGAGAGTGGCAAATGGCATATAAGAAGCTTGCCCATAGCTTCACTGTGCCTGTGGATTGAACCTGGTGCCACTCAATTGTGGGGAACTATACTGACCACTATACCCTCCTGGATTTACAGGCAACCCACTCCCATCTCCCCTATAACTTTGCATCACACCTGACTCAGTAGCCTCCAGAAACAAACACCCACTCTTCCTCCTCGTCACTTGCATATCTGATATAAAACAACTAATAAATTTGTATATATCATATATTTTGAAAATCACAGTTACTCTAATAAGTGTAAAGCATGTTTTATTCGTGCTGCAGCAGTGTCTTGCCCCAACACTGATAACATTTCGCCCACAGGCGGACCCTCCTGGAAAAAAATAAACCCATTAATATTTATATCTTGTCATAGTGATCTCCAGTACTAACTCTAAAGATTAGTGATAGAACAGTTGCCTCACAAGAGAATGATCTCAGGTTTAAACTGGAGTGGAGAACTGGGTTTCCTCCATGTACTAGAACTCTTTTACAATCAGGAATAAACTGAGCACAAAATTGGATGCACTTACAGAAGGCTGAGTGAACCCTTCAGTGGATGAGCAATCTGCCACTGGTGTGTGGTGACCTACTAAATGCTATGAAACAGAGATTCAGCACTAATCTGGTCATCCTGCAACACGGGATGTGTCCATATTTTTAGATTGCTAATTTTATATCAATGAAAAAATTAAAGCACAAGGAAAGGTGACTTTAAAAAAGAACTGGAGACATTTATCTATAGTGTACGGTATCTTAAAGGTGACTTGCCTTCATGCCAGTGACAGCAATTCTTATCAACTTCATAATGGCGGGTGTTTTCAGTCCATACTGTTTACTCACAACTTTAATTGATGTAACGATATTTTCCTTTGTAAAATTGTCAGATATGGCAGTGATGGCCTCCAGAATGCTTTGCAAGATGTCAGCTGGAAAAGAGACTCATTGTAACCAAATTCAGATGACTATGATGCACAAACATTAACCCCCAGGTTATGATTACTTTTTAGAATTGTCATTATGTTATGTAGTTTATTGATAAAGGCAACAATGGAAGATGAATACTATTTGTAAGATGACTGGAAGAAGACAAGCCCAGTGGTGGCCAATGTGAGAACCAAAATATTTGAATTGAGTGGGAGTCAAACTTATGACACCTATCTTGCTGGGATAGTGTAGTTGCACTCCCATAACTAGCACTGATAAACCAGGAAGCATTTCATTTATATTAGATAAGGAATAATGGTCTCTACCACATTAAAACCACCCTCTCAATCTTCTTGATGTTCACAGTGAACTATCACTTAGCAGCCCCGCTCCACTGGGTTCCTGGCAAACATTGTCAGAGAGACACCTAAGCTGACTTGGAATCAAACCCAAGACCTTATGGGATGGTGTGTTTACTATTACACCATGGCTCGTACTCTTATCCCTCTCAGTGATCACATGGTAGAAGGTAAAGGCCTTTTCCTGGGTGGCTGCAGCCTACCAAACACTACCTATATGGTAAGACCTTTACATAATTCTCTCAACCAGATACAAACTCCAGTTTCAAAGAAGCTTACATCATAAAGAGATTTCCTGTCATGTCAGAACTCTCCTCATAAATCTGCTATAAACTTCCCTATCTATTATATATTAGTCATAAAATATGAATTATAATTGAAAATAAAATACAACACATACCATAACTATTAGGCATTGCTGGTAGTTGGTCTAAAGGAAGATGGTCAGGTATCGCCCAAAGATAGGTATATTCAGGTCGTACTAGATCACTAAGACAAGTGATTCTATCTTCATTCCACATTAAGACACTTGTTAAATATTCTGGGTTTAGAACTTTTTCTTGAACAGCACTTGATGAGAGCCTGAAAAATTAGATTAAGTTGATTGCTGTACAGTAATACCCTGGTTTACGCGGTTCTCGTTTACGTGTTTCCACATTTACGCAGTACCCCGCCAGAACAGGGATGCCCAATTTACGCGGTTCATATACGCGGGAAGCAGCGCAGGCAGGGTGCGCACAAGGTCGCCCAGTCATCAAAACATTACCGAGTTCTTCACCCGCCACCCACCACAGCCGGCCCAAGTCAGTGATAGTGAGGATATGGACTTTGAGGGGTTTGACAAAGAGGCTCTGCAAGCCTCTGTGGTGGATAGTGATACAAGTGATACAGGTGAGGGCCAATAATCTGTCCTCTGCCTCGGAACCAACCCCCCATCCCAGTGTGCCCAGCCATCTTTTCTACTAATGTAAGTGTTAAAAAACTTAATATTATTGATATTTCCCTTAATTATTAATTGCGTGTGCATATCATCATAAAATTAAGTATGTTATTTTTACTACAACATAGGTAGTGTGTCTGAAAAACTGGAGTTTGGGAGTCAGCCCAGTCTCTATTTCAATTAATCCCATATGTTCTGTTATTTCATTTACGCGTTTCTCGTTTTACGCAGTACTCCGCAGGTTCAATTGACCGTGTAAATCGGGGTATTAGTGTACAGTATTGTATTTTTAAGATAAAGTAACACTACCAGTACATTAACCTTAATATATGGGAAACATTCTGTGTTCACTAAATAGAATTAAAAAGAACACTGATACATTTATTACATAACAGCCAGTATCATGTTATGTTCAATATGATAAAGTTCTGCATCACACAGCCAGATACCCGGGCATTCAAAATGCCAAAAAGACCGGACTAAGGAATCTCCAGTACAGTAAGTCCTCGCTTAACGTTGTTTTGGAAAATTCATGTAACGTCCAGGTGATCCGATACTACGTCCTTTTGCGTTGTCACGGACTACTTTCTACGGTGCATCACAAGTTTCTGTCTGGCCGCGCTACACTCTCTCGGCTTGGTGCGCTGCCCTCACTCGCAGAATGTCACAGCGTCCCCAAGCGACGCCAAATCAGTCTCTGTTACGATTTCACATCATTCGTGCGTGCTTAAGTGTTTTTGCTCTAAAACTGTACTTTAACCATTTGAAATGGCTTCCAAGCGCACATCAAGTGCAGTGAAGAGGCAACATAAGACCATTACCCTTGCTACAAAAATGGATGTATTAAACCGATTTGAAAAAGGGGAACGTGCTGTGAACATAGCCGTTGTGCTTGGTCTAACCCCCACAACAGTGCGTACTATCCGGACCAACGCTGACAAGATTAAGATTAGTGCTGGAAGTGGTTCTTCTCTGAGTGCTACTTAGACGACTCGTACTAAAAGCTGCCGGTGACTTCAAGCTGAAGCCTATGCTGATTTCTCGTGCTGCCAACCCATGAGCCCTGAAAGGTTACTCTAAGGATCACCTTCCTGTCCTTTACAAGGCAAACAAAAAGGCACGGATAACCGGCGCCATATTTAGCCAGTGGTTAAACGTGTACACCGTCCCTGCACTGAAGGAATACTGTGCCAAGAAGAACCTTAACTTCAAAATTCTTCTGATCCTTGACAATGCTCCAGCTCATCCTCCCAATCTAGACGACTTGCATGACAGTGTAAAAGTTGTATTCCTGTCTCCCAACACGACAGCACTGATGCAGCCTATGGACCAAACAGAGAACATAGCTCAAAGGTTCAACGCAGTATTGAGGACAGTCTTGGTTGCTACACCGAGATCTATAAGAAGATGAGTAGCACCAAGCAGTCAACACTGGATTCATTTTTTCGTCGCGGGATGGCAGGAGTTTCTTCACAACAGCCAGCAGCCGAGGAGGAGCAAAAAACAACGGAGGAGGAGCAACCAGCGGCGGAGGAACCCCAGTCAGAGCAGGAGGAGGCAGCCGCAGTGACTCACCATCATCCTCTCCCGCCCTCTTCCGCTCCCACCTTCCTCCTCCGCTCCCGCCATCCTCCTCCTTCGCTCCACTACCCACCACACACTTGCTATACCACCTCCGCCCATCGGTGAGTACCAATACAAACTTTGTACTGTAGTTTTATATACTTTTCTCTATAGAAATGGCAATAATTTTCTGTATACTGTATGTAACTTTTTTCATGGGGCAAAGGGAGGCTCAGGATCGTAACTCCCGTATTTTATCTATTTCTTATGGGGAAAATTGATCCGCTTAACGTTGTTTCGTTTAACGTCGTGTTTTCAGGAACGTAAGCCCGACATTAAGTGAGGACTTACTGTATGGGTTTCCTCTTTATATATTTTCTTGAAAAGTTAACACATCTAGAAAATTACAAATAAATGTATTTAACCAAATAAAACCATTATGTAACTGGGGATATATTCCTAACATGAAAAATTGGGCTCCAAGTCATTCCCATCAGATACTTCTGGTATATCACTGTGTTGAAAATTAAAATGAATGGATACAGACAAGAGCAAAAGAGGTAAGTTAAATTATTGGAGAGGTACTGTACAGGATAATTAGTTAAGAGCCTTTAAAATCCTCTATTTCATTATAATTAATTCTTGAGGGGGGACTCACTGTATTAGAATTCAAGAACTAAAACATTTTATTTTCTGCCTTGCTAGCTGTTCCCACACTGTGGGTTTAGGAAAGGCATCCAGCTGTAAAACTTTACTTTAATATGCCTGATGGCAAAGTTGCCATCAGGTAATTGCGACTAACTCACACAAGAATGGAAAATTCAAGTTCTTAAGCAACTTCCTTCCTTCAAAATAATGTATAATACTAGTATTCATACTCTACAACAATTTACATCTTTCATAGTGTATCCTTCAGAATACAATATCAGAATCCATACCTACATTGCTTCATTATAACTACAGTACAATACATTTACTTTTCTTCAAAAGTTTTTTTGACAAGGTCCTGGAGTTGATCAAGTAGTACTGGAAGCTCAGTTGGGCTTTTCAAACATCTCTGCAGGTCCATTTGGTTATACAGTTTCAGTTTATCAAAGTCCAATCGACAGGAGTTTTTGGTGAGGCGAGCGAGATTGAACTGAAATATGAGCTTTCCATAAATACCTGACTTTTATCTATTTCTGGTTCAGTAACAAATAATCACTACAGGTAGTGTATCACTTATTTGTGTCTCCAAGCTCCTCCCATTTAAACAGGAAAATAAAAAATTAGCACTAACTGTTGGTGTTAATACAGTAACCCCATTACATTACTACACCAGTGCTATCTATGATATCCCCCCAAAAACTATCAATGGATGCCTTAGCATCCCCAGCATCATTTACTCAAAAGAAGAGTTACATTAACAATTAATAATAAAGTATAAATAATACACCAACTGGATGCAAGTGGGAATGCAAACACATGCATGAATATAGAATTGGAACAACCACTATATAATCTGAACAACAATAAGCAATATATCTGTTTCATTGTGGTCTTTGTTAAAAGTTCTGGATTTAATATACAGTACAGGGAGTTTTACTCCGGTTTATCACATGATCACACAACACTTACCTTCATGTTTACCTAAAGTTTTTAGAATTTTGGATTAAAGAATCCTCAAACCTGTATCTTTATTGCTTTCCTTAACCTAAATTTTACTTCTCTCTAGTTATTTAAACATAGATGAATAGTTACCTTTTCAGATAATTCTTCAATAGTTAACAGAACATTGTGTTCCTTGCCCTCAAATCCTCCACCAATGTCAGTCACAAAGTTCAACACAGCCTCTGGAGAGTATCCCTGGTCTCGGTAATGTTCAATGTGAAGGTCATCCTGTCGTTTTGAGAGCTTACTCCCATCTCTATTGACGATGAGTGGAAGGTGCCCGAACAATGGAGGATTCCAACCAAAGGCCCTGTGGGATAGTAATGGTTTAAGTGGCTTGATTATCTGGAGTCAGCTAAGAACAATAGGAGCAGGTAGTAAATGCCCCAACTGCTAATGTGGTATTACATGCTAACCTAGTTAACTTTACTTTTATCTTATCTATTGTAGGTAAAAAAGCTCCAGCAGCTTTGTCTCCTTGTCCAAGTAACAGTTCATGAATGTTTGAACTGACAACCAGGTGCCTCTTTGTAGTATGGAATGAATGGATATTTTCCTTAAGACCAATCATTATGGATATAAGATCCTTGGAATCTTTGCATTCACTATCACAATTTAATGATAATGCTCATAACTGAAATTAATCATAAATCAGGGAGCTTGTAGTATACCTGAAGTTGGAATAGCAATAGAATGCTGTCAGTCATGTTTGTATACCAATCCTGAGTGGTTCATTGGCTGATTAACTAGCCCAAGAAGACACAGCTTATGAATAATTTTTGGTGATTTTGTTCTATCTACAACTAGCTAAGATAACTTACGTACTTGTACAAGAGAAGATGTTTTGGTGTAGATATCTGCCACTCCACACCCCTCAGAACGTGTGTTATCCCCATTAAGTGGTCATCAACAACATTAGCAAAGTGGTAGGTTGGGTACCCATCAGCCTTCATCATCACTGGGTCACCCTCATGTTCAGCCACATTAATCAAGATTGGACCATATATAAGATCTTGATAAGGATCTGTTATTGTCTCCAACTGTTGAAAATAGAGAAACATACAGTGACAAAATTACATGAGTAAATTGTCCTAAGTGCCAGGAAAATACAGTAAGAAAATAAAATATTCAAACTACAGACAAATTCTTTTAAGATGTGGCAAAACACAAAGATAAATGCTGGCATGACATTGGTAAATACACAATGCAATACATAGTAGTATTGTTTGTACAGCAGCTTACTATAAATTATGTCCACAGTATAAAAAGTACAAGGGTGTATTAAGAACTGTCTCTCCATAAGTACTACATGGCTTGTATAAATAAAAATAATACAGTACTGTACTGTATATGACTTACTTTAAATCTAATGCAATATGGTGTCCCTTTTCTCTCTAGCTCCTCAATTTTGACTTGAGAAAGGTATCTACATTTATTGTCATATTTAGGAGTTTCATTTCTTCTTATGGCATCATTTCGCAGCCAGTCCAATCTTAATTTTGAACAGAAACATTTGTAAGCGCTATCATTTTCCAAAAGATTCTTCATATAATTATGGTAAAGATTAATACGTTGTGACTGTACATAAGGGCCTCTTGGACCACCCACAGTTGGAGACTCGTCAGGGTATATTTTGGCCCATTTCAACATATCCTCAAGCCTCTGAGCTGCATGTACAACCAGACGAGTCTGGTCAGTATCTTCTATTCGCAAAATGAATTTTCCATTCTTGGACTTGGCAAAGAGAAAGTTGTACAGTGCTGTACGTAAACCCCCTAAGTGGAGATGACCTGTAGGAACAGAAATAAATGAATATATACATGGATACCTATGGATATAACATATATTAGGTACAGAATGTATAAACATATAAATATTCTAACTGATACAGAAAGTGAAAAATAAAGAACAGATTAAACTTTCAAACAATATTTTCATAATCTACAGTCTTTACATCCAGCAATAAAAATTACATAAAATTTGCCTGATGGCAATGAAAGCCTCACACCCTCTAGTAATCATAGCTAACCCTGGCAACATGAAAAATAGCTGCCCATAAAATGGTGAATATGATGATGATTTTTGTTAAACAAATGCATGGAAAAATTTTATTACCCGGTAATATATTTAATGCAATTTTTTAAGAAAAGTGGTCAGTGTCACTAATCACTCCCTCCTCTGATTTTTCAGCTTCCCTACTTTCCTCCACTAATTGTCTTTCAACCACTTTTATTCTACCAACAAATAAGTAATTTTTGCCTCCCTGACCTTTTTTATTATATGGTCAGGGCTGGTACAGGAAGATCAACAATGTCAGAAGTCAAATAATAAACTTGCCACTCATTTCAGGCTTTTAGCTATAAAGAGATTTCAAAATCAATAACCTACTTATTCTAACTACTGTAGTTTTACAGTGCCAGTTTGAGATAACCAGTGTAGAAAAAAAATGCAATATTGGCAATATAAGACACAATTATCTTAGATTAGTTCTACTGTATATATATATATATATATTACAATAATATACATCTTCCATATTTACTTTACCGGTGGGACTTGGAGCAAACCTAACTCGTACTTGGCAGGCTTTTTGTGCAGATATTGAAAAAAGTCTCATGAACTTTCTGGCTTCTTGTACTTTACAAGGCAAAAGAGGTATTCTCTGCAGATGCGTAAATAGTTGCGCCATGTTTATCCTGAAAAAAAAGTGGAGCTTAGTGATACTGATCGTTTAACACCACAAAAATTATTAAGCTGTTATGACATTGGACCAAAAGCACATTTGACCCTTGGTAGACAATTCCTCAACTGCAGGGTGTCAAAGAAAAAGTATACCTGTGCACACTCCCTTCCACTTTGCAGAGATAGCATGAAGCCTTGTATTACAACAGCAACATCGTCCTCGCTTGTTGATGTGCGAAGTCTGCCACAAGTGAGGACAATGTTTTTGTAATACATTACAAGCATTTACACAATCTACCTGAAAAATTGTAGGGCAGTATTTAAACTCTTTTTGAGACAACCTGTATGTTAAAACTGACATACTGCAATGTACTGCATTATGAAATAGTATTTATTTTTTAATTTTTAATGTCTCATAATTACAAATAAAAAAGTAGTAATACTATACTATCTAATCATATAATGTAGCAATTGCTGGACTTATTAGTGTCTACGGAATGATCGCTAGGAAGTATATTTATATTTGGTGAAAATGGTATCACCCAGACCAAAACAGGTTAACGTAGATTTGTGTTCATGAAAAAAAAACTATAATAATAATACCGGTAATATTGTATAGCATTGCAATAAGTTTAAATCCACATAATTCTAATGGATTATCTTAAGGTAACAAAAAACTGAACTCCAGAAATATTGGTACAGTAATACTTAATGACAGTACCACACATTAACCAGAAACTTGGGGAAACTTTTCTACAGATAAATACTTTCCTACCTCATGAAAATCCCAATAAAATGATGATGATTTACAATATACTGTTATAATGTTTTTTTTTTGTGACTTTTCCATCCTGAACATTAATCTACATCCAGTATACCATTTTAGCCCCAACGACACCATTTCACCTTCGACATAATATGCATTTCTCACATAAACACTTCCCATTGACCAATCCATATAGCATATCAATACTGTCATCAAGAATTAAAGATAAAATTTCTCAAGTTCCTGGTTAATCTGCAATACTGTTCTGGAGTATTACCCACAAATTTTCATCCTATAATAAAATATCACAAACACAGTACAGTATGTACCCAGTAGTCATGGCGGGTAAGGAAAGTTATCTGTTAGTCCGCCTGTTTATTTAATAAGAGATAATGTTTACAAATTATGTAAAAAATGAGGAAAACAAAACCTTAAAAATGTAAAAGAAAAGCATCCTCCATATTACTAAAGTATGACCCAGGATAAAAGTGAGAAGGCTATTATCAAGGTACTATATTCTGGTTTCCTATCATCTGGTGACTTTCCACACCAGCTTATTTCACCTAAAAATCAAATTAAACACCCTAATGCTAACCAAACATTACCTATCCTGTACTAAACTATACAAATAGGTCATAACATATGATACCTTCGATCATCCGCCTGGACGGGTAATAGTACGTTAAGGTTTTAAGTGATGAAACGATAAACAAATAATCACAGTAAAGAACTTTTCTAAATTATAAGACTGGCAGATGCCACACTCTTTAAATGTTCAAGATTAAAATAGTAACGTACAGTAGTTAGGTGTTGGTTATAATGGGAGAGTTTGTTGTCACCCTTCACCTCCCTAAAACGTAAACAAACTCACCCAGTCGCTGTTGTGTGGGTGTCAGCCGGTCACTGTCCTCTGGGGTATTAATTAAACACACTCATTATTTTCGTACGAGGAATGATTATGATTAGGAATTCCCCTCCATTACATTAATGATATTATTTGAAAACTTGAGTCGTTCATTTTCAATTTAGATTAAAAAATATTAGAATAGTTACCCAAATAGTAGCAAAACGTTTTCTTTGGTGTCTCACAAGCCACAAAGAAAATACTGAGTTTTGAAAGGAGTTAAAATTACTTCCTTTTTATTCCTTAGCTGTATCACTCCAAGGAGCCAGCAGGACTTGCCCACTTGCCAGCAACTAGTGTGTAACAGAGACGTGACCTACCACTCAAGGGGCTAACAAGACGATCATTGGCGGAGAGGATTCAAGGTTAGAGTGGTAACACTTTTTTTTTGGGGGGGGGGGCCACTCCCCCTACATCATTGTGTAAGGTGAACCCCAGAAGCGTTTACAGCACCCAACAGGGAAGCATGCTAAGTTCATGCTTGCCTTTATGTCTCATGAGTTAAGGGCGTAGAAGCCTCAAGAGTCAGTGGTTTATGTCCTCAAGTTATTGGAAGCTCCAACAACTTGTCCCTGAATACGAATTCGCAACTTTCGACTTACAGCAGGTACCTACTTTACTGCTAGGTGAACAGGGACTAATGGGGGCTAGGAAGTAAGTCCAAACAACTTCCACACACGTGTATCACCAATATATCAAGGGTTCGAGTTCTACTTGACCCGGACACGCGTGAGAAGCGTGTTATCCAGTGTGACCCCTCACTATCAAAATCACAGGTTTCCTTCTGTACTAACACTGGATAGACCAATCGCCTGAACGGCTAGTAAGCTAATAAATGGTGAATTAATAAAGATAAATAAATAAATAAGTTCTCTATGATAAATGTACCGTACAACACTACCCCCTCTTTACCCAAATGATTAAATAAATAAAAATTAAAAAAGTGTAACCAAGACATGAATTATTTTCGGCTTGATTGCGTAAGAAGGTGATTACTGGTGATGAGAAACTCGAGTTCGGACAAAATTAGGAAAAAAATACCATAGTAAGACAAAAAAGGTGGGAACAATGGCTGCTGCTGATGACCTTCACTTCTTCTGTGTTTGGCTTTTATGGTACTCCCGTTGACATGATAAACAACCTTTGGTGGAAACAGAATTTTTTTATGACTGCTGACAAGACGAATGAACAGTACTGGTCATAGGTATTTAATTTTCTTAGTCTAATGTTAATTAATCGTTTAAGACAGGCATGGGCAACCTGCGACCCGTGAGCAGCATGCGGCCCGAACCTTTGTCTTTGTGCAGCCCACAGAGAGATTGAGAAATTCTATTTAATGTGACCCGCGGTTCAAGTAGATGCAGCCTGAGAAGGTGGCTTCCCCAGCAGGACATTCTTGGTGAGTGTGTAGTGTTTATGTAATGAGAACGAGCCGAGCGAGTGAACCTGGTTACCACTGTATGGTGTGTACGAGTGCTGTCCTACAGTGGCGTGATTGACGTGTGTATGAGTGTTGCCACCTAGCGGTGTGAATGAAGTAGGAAGTCTGAGTAGTAAGATGACATAGCGCGAGGTTTCGTAAACATGTTACAGTATTACCTTGTGAGACAGATTGTTTCCTGCTCCATTACTGTACAGACCTCTTCCAGTAAACTGCATCTGTGAAAACTTACATTGAGCCGTCAGTAACCAAGTAGAACTTGAACAGTGAGTAGCTTCACACAGACAGTAGGTAGGACCCCTACTTTCACTCATAAAGTAGGTACTGCCCCTAGCTTCATTCACACAGCAGATACTGTCTAGACACCCTCTCAAGCCTCCCTGTCAGGCGGCTACTAGCGAAAATCCATCTTGAAGTACATAGTAGCTGGTATCGGAGTATAATGTACAGCACCAAGAAGGTCAGCCAGTGGTCTAGTTCTCTCTTTAGCTCCAGGTAACGTGTAGTACAACCTGCACAGCCATTACCTACGGAGTCACATAATTGTGAACACCGACCTGGCACTTCCCCCTTCTCCTCCTTCCTGACCAATGCCTTGTGCTGCACTTGCCTCCCCTGCAGCAAACCCTAACGTAACAGCGTTCCTCTGTGAACTGTACCCTTAATTTGTAGACCCTTGCTCGTACTCGCTCCAAAAAGTATCTTACGGAGGTGGTCAATGAATTTCAGAATGAACACATGTTTCTCTCACCTGTTAATGAAAAACAAACAGGGTAACGAATTTGTTGACATCTGCACCAAAAGGCCTTGCATAAATATCTAGTAAGAGATAACGTGACAACATGTACTTATAAACCGTATATCTTTATCAATAAATATGTGCCACAGCGGTGGAATGAAACCAAGGTTGAATTAGTTATAAGATCCGTTGTCCTTGCTTTTATTCAATTGTCCAACATTTGTACAGGATACCACACCACACGTGCAATCCTGAAATAAAAAATGCAAGTGCACTGATGGCCTACATTTTGACGACCTAATATTAATTAAAAAGATAAGGGCTTGTAACATTGTTAATGTGGAGTGTGGATTTCTTAACCAGAAAAACTGGCGACATTTGTTATTATTTTGAGACCACTTCTAGGGTTTAAAGTTGTTGATATAATGTGTTTGGAGCCTATGTGTTTGTGTGTCATAATAATAATGATGATTAATATTTAAAGGTTTATTGATAAATACAGCAGCCTTAATCTGAAAATATACAAATGACATAAGTGGTACATACAATATACATGATGATAAGGGGGGACGGGGACATGTAACAAGGAATTTCAGCAGTCACAGTACAAAAGGGAGATTGACAAGGATTGGACACGCAAGTTATCTACGAGCTGTTGATGATTTTTACAATGGTAGAAAGTAACGAAAATAAAAGGCTACATTCCCCTTATGATGTACCCGTTTATGTCAAATATCAGTTCAATAATGGATTAAAAATTCACAGTTCGGTCGGCAGCTTGACAAATCGTTACCCGCGCTCAGTAAAGCTGTAGTGACCAGCTGTGGCGACGTGTAGGGGGGGTGCTGAGGACGTGCTGTAACGCATGAAACCAATATTGTTTTAAAGATGTATTGGTTCAGTGAGAGATAATTCATGATTACACTTCATATCTCTCTTGTGTTACGATGCGTTGTTATAATTGACGTTATTGTAATGTGAACTAAAGCCCAAGTATGACCAACTAGCCTTCAGCGATGACTCCTATGGCTCTTAAGTGACTATTATAGTGTGTTTACTAACCTAGAGTATTCACTTACACATCTAATTTGTCGAGGCGTAGTTATTACAACATAAGATTTTTTACTAAATACTGAAGGTGAGTTATTGCAGCAGATGTATCTTTGTTAGTTAATGTAAACGAATTGATTCCTGGAAAAAATATGAGCCAAATTGATTTAGAGAGCGCTTGTGTAAAAAAAAAAAACGAACGTACAAAGTTCGAGAGGGACTTGGCTATCTGAGAGGAAATTGTTTTAAGATTAACATAGAATGGGGAAATACAGTACTGTATATAAGTGAGGAGTGATGTAGGCACCAAGTTTATGCGGCGCCTTATTTGGGTTTTGAGTGACAATGAATGAGAGTAGGTTAGGTAATGTCTGGCAGTGATAACAAATTTCATTCTT